TGTGACCTTCGGCGACAACCTTGTGTGAGCGGCCAGCTTCTGGATACCTTCGACATGGAAACCTCTGGTGTTGGCATGCAGCAATCCGCAATATTGAGCCAATGGCTTGGAACCCCAGCCATCGTGCCCAACTCGTGTCACAAGTCACACATCGGGCAAGCAGCAAGTCAATGGGAACCGCACAAATCTCTCACAATCTCGTGAATCGCTACATCATGGCTTTGGCCGTTGGCGGCGTGGAAGCCATGTGTGTCGGCTGCGTGCCTATGTTGGAAGCAGGCGCTCTACTAGCAAACCCGAAATCGAGCCGGCAAGAGCATGACCAAGTTCCTCCTCCAAGCAACGATTCCGGGTATGTCAAGGTGATACGAAAATAGGCATTGCATCTGTGCTTCGATTATATGGGCTACGGCCACAGCTCGGTCTCCTCTCAAATTCACCTTTTCCAGTTATGGATTGACTCAAACTTCCCGGTCGAAACATCTTGTCGTCTGTCATGGGACAGGGGTGGAATGTAATCAAAAACCCGTCACTCAATCCTCCAATTTTCCAGAACAGCTAGTATCCTTGGACAGACGATAACGATATCTGACCCTCTGGTTGCACATGTTTCGATTGGACCTTCTTGCGAAGTGACCTACACCAACCAAACCATACGCGGCTTTCCGATGTGCGACATCGTGCAGATGCGGTTGATGTGCCCTCGCACGTGTAGAAAGCTGGAAAGTTGAAGCCAGAATGCCCGAGGATGCAGTCCACTGTAAAACACGAGGCCGATATCAGTGGCGTCGGCATTCTAGTCCAAGCGAATTACAGGTCCACAATTCACGCCTCAACGGCTGAACTATTGGGATCGAGTAGTTCGGTGCCCTGGGACGCGATCTTTTATCTCTATGTCTGGGGGAAGCTTAGCATAGCTATATGTTGGAATGCGTATGATGGGAATCCCGACAAGGAAAAGATGGCTTTGTTCTGCAATCAACATCTCCGCCTAATATCAACCCGCGCCCAAAACAGGCGACGAAATCGCACCCCAGCTTTTATATTTCCATCACTGCCCGCAATCATGTGATGTCAAGCATGGGAGATGGAGGGCCTAGTGATCTCAAGGTGGGAAAAAACCATCTATCAGATAATGTTGGTGAAAGAAGCACTTCACGAAATCGGCTCAAGTAACTGACTTGCGCAACAACATACCCGGTGACCTGCCGCTGTCCCCTTTGATCAATCAATCAGTGAGGGAAAACCTATGCACAACACAGGGATCTCACCTGGTTGGAGGCAAGAGAGCAAAGGTATCACAACAAGGGCCTGCGTCTTAATACTTCTGCAGCAACTCCTTCAGCTTCTTCTTCGCCTTCTTATGATGATGCGAAATGCGGTGCGCTCGATATCAAAAGAGTCCACGCTCTGTCTGAGGGATTGGAGCGGATTGAAGTAGACGGGAAATGGCAACTGATGGGATCCGACTGATTTTCATCTGGGTCACAAATAAGCCTGATATTGTTACCACGGTGGCTATGTCACCTTGCCTTCATGATTGCTCTTTATTCCGTGGCGGCTACATGTTTAGCCGCTGAAAGATGACCCGCCGTGAGGCACCGTCTGATCCACCTTTTCCTTTGCAGATTTCCGTCCTTCGGATATGACATGTCTGTGGAAAGGCGGTATCAACTGTAGCAGATGTCCACGATTACGAGCCTTCCAAATGGTTGGACGTTTTCGCCTTGATTGTGGGACAGCGCCCGTCCAGATGCGCATATACGTATCGAGACCATATCATTTAATTCAAGGGGGAAGGAAAGCTTCAAGAGACCCGGCCGTGTAACTGTCACGCCCGAGACCAGAGCACTCGCCTGCCCGTCGGTCAGCGTCTGTGTCAAAACAACTTGCGTTGGCATGTGTATGCCGAGGAGTCGAAGCTTTCATCAGATACCCTCGTCGTTCGCAAGTGGAATTAACGACGGTCTTCGCGAAGCATACCCGGGATTTGCGCATCTCACACTCATACCTGCAATGGGGAGAGTACAACCCCGATAACGAATCTCGCTGTTGGAGGTGGAAGACCTGCAGAGAGAAACCCCATCGACCGTATCTGTAAGAAACTTCTCATTTGAGGCGCCTCCTGACAATGCTCGAGTGCATCACATCACTCAGACGTTCACCCAATTTTATCATCCGAGTCATACCCTCTCACCGTGGCGGACTCCACCATTCCACCATTCCACCACACAGAAACATTGAAGGCTAACCTATAGTCTAGGAAAAGGGCATGCCTCTAGCTTGATGCACTCTCGGCGCCGCTCCCGAACATCATGCAGTGCTGCTTATGTGTTGGCTGCTGAGTGTTAGCAGTTATCGACTAGTCCATCGAGCCTCTGCTCATTTCTTGCTCGACAGGGATCATCACACCCACCATACAAACCAAGGATAGTATCGTTCGGCATATTACCTGTTCTCTATGAGTGGGCAGGCACGGAATTTTACATATCACCTCTCACACACCCCCTTTTGCCTGGCCTGCTTGGCCACGGCTCGCCTCTCGCTTCCGGCCCTCCACTTTCGTCATGCTGCTTTCTACTGGCATGCTTCTTCAACATCCGATCTCACGCCTGAGGCCAGGGAAGGGGGTGTAGACACTAAGCGAAAACGTGGAGAAGGGGGCAAGGGCGAATGAAAAACCTGGAAGGTTACCCAAGTGGGTGAAGAAGGTATGCCGTCTCGCAGTCACTGGTCTTTTGCACTTGCATATGCTGGTGGTGGTGGACTGGGTATTACCTCTACAACCCCGGCCTCCTTTACCCCGCCGCTTTCGGGAGCCATTAGTCTCGTGTGGGTCGTCTTCTTCTCCTGCCAGTTCCAGTAGTAGAACTACAAACGACGTGACAACTACCCGGGATGCTATGTCCGAATAAAGAAAGAAGGGCGACGAGAAGAACGAGGGGGATATCAACCTCCCTCTTTTCCGGTTACGTTACTGTCTCGATGAAAGAAACGGAGAGGGTGCAGTGACTTGGTCGGTCTATCACCACCCCATCCCCCGACGACTTTGCAGCTAGTACGGCCCTATGGTGCGATGAATGGCTGATCTTCACCCCCTCTTTGTTTTCTGGTCCGTTGGACACCCGGACACCATCAGTCACGAGCGAGTGGGAAGTCCCGAAGCCGTCATCTGATTTGATGGAAAGCAAGGGAAGAATTCGCCGTCTTCGTTCTTTCGTGACACAGCTGGAGCTTATGCGACAAACTATCTAGTCACACGCAGAATGAGCGAAAACAGAGAGACCAACCATATGGAATGTGAATGTGTACTTTTGCGGGATGTAGTCATAAGTTGTCTTCGGGCCATGGATCCGATAGTTCGCTAGTTGTTGGCTTTACCCTGGACAGCGCGAGTCTCGTTACGAGTTGATCCGATTTTGACGTTCGACTGTCCATTGTGTTCCGGTCATCTGCCCTTCTTGGACAAGATGGGTCATTGGAAAGTGTTTTTCGTCTCCGTTACGGTGAGTTTGAAATAACCGCGATTCCTAGTTGCTTCTCCTTGATGGACACAGACACTCGGTAACAAAGCATCACAGGATCAAGAAGAAGCCATCTTACCTACTACATAGGCTCTGACAGGTTGGCATCCTTAAACCACCTATATACAAGTTTATCATAGCTCACTAGATACTGACAGAAGGGAAGCTGACCATCGGAACCTTCACCGCAGAGACCAGACATCGGACGAAAGCCCATCCGCCAGCCGGCCAGTCACCAGCCAGCCAGCGCTCCTTCCATTTGACCGTCGCCCACTGCCCGGCCACGCAACGAAACCTACCTACCACCAGTCACCGGCACTGAGGTTTATATACTAGGTCTTTCACCCAACTCTCGTCCCCTCCAGGTGGGACAATAGTCAAGCGGTTGAACGAAGCGCACGTTCACTTCAACAGGGCCAGATTCGCCAGTCAACACACCCTATGCGTTCGATTCCCAACGGCAGCGGCAAGATTTTCGGCCTCCCCGATTCACTGTCCCATCTATCCCTCCTAAGTCACTGCACTGTCCGACGCTCTTCTAACCAGGTCACTGCACTTCACTGCCTATATGTACCGAAGCCTACAACACGATAACAATACGACGATTCGATTCGGCGCACACGGCGGAAAACTGATGAGGAGGCATCGGTTGAGGGATCTGGGGGCGCTGCTTGACTATTGTTCTATTATCTTTTTTTGCAGCTTTTTCTTGCCCCTCTTATTATGGGTGACTTTGCTCGCAAATTGCTCGCTGGTATTTGCACCTTCGTTATTCCCTTCGCTCCTTCTCACCTCGTTATATCATATGAAGGCGACAAGTGGTAAGTGATCTTGAAGTGACTGCTTCGAAGTTACGGTTGACTATCGTGAGACATTTGTTATTATTTTGCTCTCGGCTGTGTCGCAGGTCCGCGTTGACTACCTCGTAAACGAGGAATATATTAATCTTTGGAATCCAATTAGGGCCCCACGCTGATGTGCTTATGGTCTATGTTCCCATGTTCGGAAACCCGTCGCGAGGTTCAATGTCGACAGTTGAATACTAATAAATGAGCTTGCGGAGGTGTTGAGGGTTGGCAAATCCTTGTTGAATGACCGTGATAGGAGTCGGCCATGGTATTGTCATGCTCATCCGAAGGAGCGAAGATCGGACACTTAAGGGAAATTATGATAGACGTTATGCATTATACCACTTATCCAAACTGACTTGCTCTATATATCCGACGTCTATACACATATTCGTCGCTGAAACGCATTCTCTTGCTGGCAACTTCGTCGAGTGGGCTTCTCTGCCCGGTACCATTCCCGGTCCTGTTGTTTACAAACGTCCCTATGCTCGCACTGGCAGCACCACGGTTAATCACCCCGAGATACTGCCGAAGCTATCCAAAATGGACATACCACTCTTCAATGCCTGTTAGCCATTGTTCGCTAACAAACACTCCTCCACATGCCCGTTTTCGCCTGACAGTCCATTTACTGGTAGTCATAAAAGCCCTTGCCGCTCTTCTTGCCCAACCAGCCAGCATCAACCATATTGCGCAAGTGCACACTAGGCCTATACTTGGAATCGCCCGTCTCCTCGTACAACACCTTCATGATAGCCAAGCAGGTATCAAGACCGATGAAGTCCGCCAGCTGGAGGGGACCCATGGGCACGTTGGTGCCGTTCTTCATGATGGCATCGATCGAATCGCGGTCGCCGACGCCCGTCTCAAGGCAGATGATGGCCTCGTTGATGTACGGCATCAGGATGCGGTTGGCCAGGAAGCCCGGGCTGTCCTTGGAGATGGAGGGGATCTTGCCCAGCTTCTTGCAGAACTCGACGGCGGTGTCGAGGGTTTCCTGGCTGGTCTGCAGGCCGCTGATGATCTCGACGCCCTTCTGGACGGGGACCGGGTTCATGAAGTGCGTGGACACGACGCGCGAGCTGTTGGAGGTGTCGTTGGGGTCCTTGGTCGTGGAAGCGGCGATGCGCGTGATGGAGATGGAAGATGTGTTGGTCGCCAGGATGGCGTGCTTGGGGCAGATCTCGGCGAGCTTGGAGAAGATATCAAACTTAAGCTGGGGGATCTCCGGCACGGCCTCGATCACGAAGTCGACGCTGTGCAGGTCGTCGAGGCTCGTGGTGGGCTGGAGAAGGGCGCGGGCCGCGTCGGCCTCGTCCTGGGTGATACGGTGCTTGGCAATGTCCTTGCTCAGAAGCTTGTCGGCGAAGGCGAGGCCCTTGTCGAGAGACTTTTGAGAGGCGTCAACGAGGGTGATGGGGACCTTGGCCTTGGTGGCGGCGACGAGGGCGATGCCCAGACCCTGAAGAATAAAGAGGATAGGTTAGCCGTTAATGTTGAAGATATGGTTATGAGTGACATGGGACGAACTCACCATCTGGCCGGCACCAACGACACCGAGCCTCTTGACCTCGGCAGCGTTGCGGGCGCATGTCGAGCTGAAGGCGCGAGCGCCAGTGGGCAGCTTCTGGGCGAGGGTTCTGGCGAGCATTTTGAAGGTAGTCTACGGTGAAAGTAAACAAAGCAGACGCTGTAACTGAGAAACCGGAAGGAAACAGATAGAAAAAAAGTGCAAGACAGAAAATGCGAATGCGACGATGCGACGATGTGAAGTGGAAGTTGTCCGATTCGGTTAACCTCGGCCGTCTCCGTCTCCAATTCGACGTCACAAGCCCGGCCCGGGCCACGGGGGCACAGGGGGTTACGGGCGGCTCTAGGCGGGGGAAATGGGGTCGGTTTTAGGGCGTATGGGGTACGCTAACCCACCTGCTCAGGGGGTATTTGCGGGCTTGATTGGCCAATTCGGCATCATTCATCCCCTTGTCCGCAGCTTCTCCATGGGGTTGAAATCGGGGTATTGCCGTAAGACCTTAGGAAAAACCTGTTAAACGGCTAGAAAGATAAGCAAGCCAAGACCTTGATACCATGAATTTCCATTAAAGTACGACACGCTCGACGCGTCTCCCACCCCTTCAAACGCGTCTCCCGATGAAGGGCGCCGACTGATGACAACACCCACGCGATAACAAAACGACATCCAGAACCAGCTGAGAGTTGAGGAGAGTTTGTGTGGTACCCATATGACACAGTTCTAGTCTTGGAAGCTGGGATCTCTGCGCAAAATGGAGGCCGCAGACATCAACGACGATGTCGTCCACCCGGAAGTGCGGGCGCACATCACCAACCTGGTCTCGGCGGTATGTTCTCTTCCACTTTTGGACCCCTTGTGTACATGATACTTGTGGCATGGTTGAGTACTGACTTTGGCGACTCAAATAGCTCGGTGGTTACAGCGTGGACGAAGATGGAAGCTACAAGCTCGGTGACGAAGCCCTCGACGTCTTGCGCGACCTGAAGAAATGGATCCGATTCTACGACGAAAAGACCAACCGTATGGACGTTGCCAGATGCCTGGCTGAAGCGAATCTCGTCGGCGGCGATCTACTCCAGATCTTGACACTATGGCCCCAGAACGAAACCGACAGCAAATACAAAGCCCGTATCGCCCTAGCCTGCTTCGAGGTCATGGTGCCCCTTACTTGGCCCATAGAGAAGGAGCGCGCGGAAATGACAATCAACCACCATCGCCACATGCCGGTCCTACAGCTTGCCCAGCTTGGCTATAAGCGCGCCATCATAAACTTCGATGCGATACCCATCCTCAACACCGCCGTCAGGGTAGCCCTGCCCTCCATGGCCATGCCTATTGGCGAGCGGACACCTCGAGACCTGGCTATCATTAAGCTCATTCTGTTCTTCCTGAGGAATGTTGCCATGATTGCACCTCCTCAAGGTGTCAAGTACGAAGGCGACGAGACACAGGTATCCAGGTCGGCCACCATCGATGCCTTCTCATACCAAGACATATTTTTGACCCTCCTCACCCTTGCTTCCAACATGGGCGAGGACTTCCGCACCGAGGATGTGATTGTTATGGAGATTATCTTTCATCTTGTCAAGAGAGTTGACCCCAGTTCGCTCTTCGTCAGCGAAAAGCAACTCAACAAAGCAAAGGGACAAGAGCTGGCATCGGAGATGCGCAAGGAAACCGCTATGCTGAAATCGTACAACAAAACTACAACCACCCGTCATAGTCGATTTGGAACAATGATATGGGTGAAACGAGCAGACGGAAAGATGGTGACAGTATCTGGCCAAGAGGCTCTTTTGGACGCCAAGACACGGGAGAGGAAGATGGATAGCTCAAAAACATTCAGACCGCCGAGGAGGGCGAGGAAACCCGAGAGGGAACCCAAAGACCTTGGGCCTCCAGTGACACTAGACGAAAGAGCTCGTCAGCAGCTTCGATCATTCGTCCAAGACTTCCTTGACTCGGGTTTCAACCCCTTGTTTCTGCACGTGAGGCAATCGATCGACCGGGAGGCATTGCATGTGCTGAACCAGCATAAGAGCCAGTTCTTCTACCTTGTCGCCTGGTTCCTCGAAGCCGAGCGGATGCGCAGAAAGGCCAAAAGGGAGGAGTCAAAGTCGACGTCCGCAGCCGGAGAAGAGGTGAACAGCTTTAACCTCGTTGCTGCTGTACTCCAACAGGAAATGTTCGCTTCCATGAACCGTGCGCTTGACCGGTCCTATAGTGATAAAGACTGGCAGTTGCTTACCTCGGTCATGCGATGCTACACCCAGATCTTCCTTACGGTCCAGGAGATGTCCGAGTCTCCCAATGAGGAGGACCAGGAGATTGCCGAAAACACCCTCAGCCGTCTCTTCTACGAGGAGACAACCCACGACCTTATCGCGAATATCGCCCGAACATACAAGGACCAAGGCTTCGAATATCTTGATGCGGCAACGGAGCTGGTCCACACTTTCCTCCGCATGTTGGAAGGTTACTCTAAGCAAAATGTTGACTTGCAGGTGCGCTCGCGGAAGCGAGCCCGCCGAAAGAAGAAGGCTGCTAAAGCTGCCGCTGCAGCAGCAACTACAGCTCCCGGTGAGGAAGCAGAAGACGTTGGCGTTCCCGAAGAGAATGATGCCGACGATTCTGGAGACGATGAGCAGCATGCAGAGCGGGTTACTCAGGAGCGCAAGTTTGAGTTTGGGAAATTCGCCATCAGATTTGCTCCTCAGGGTGTTGTCGACACATTTGTCGCCTTAACGAAATTCTATCGGGATTTGAATGATACGCAGCTGAAACGCGCTCATCGCTACTTCTATCGTGTTGCTTTCAAACAGGAACTAGGCGTCATGCTGTTTCGACTGGACATCATTAATCTCTTTTACAACATGGTGAAAGGCCCTGAGCCCTTGGACAAAAACTCGCCGATGTTCAAGGAGTGGGAAGAACTCTCTAAGCAGATAATCCGGAAGTGTGTCAAGAAGCTTCAAGAGCGGCCTGCGCTGTTTACCGAATTGCTCTTTTCCAAGATCGGCAGCACGACACACTTCCTTGAGCATGGCTACGAGAAGCCTGTTACCACAACTACCCCACGACCTGGTGCCGAGCTGGAGTTCAAGCGCGCCACAGAGCGCGACGAGCAGATCGGCATTGCGGTCAGCGTACTCATCGACAAACAGCAAACTGAGCACCTCCAATGGCTCAAGGATCAGCTAACAAGCGCAATGAACGAGCGGCAAGCATGGGAGAACGTAGACAAGGCCATGGCGGCCACTACGGAGGGCGCAGCTGACGGTGAAGCTGGCGAAGACAGCATGAACAAATCAGCACCGCCACATGTCACCATCCGCCCTGATACCGAAGCGCGCCGCACAGCCATGTTCAAGAACCCGCACCTCCGTCTCCTCATGCGCCTAGTCGGCATGGAGCGCCTCACCCCTACTCTCGACGAAACCCCTGACTCGACATGGATTCTCCCAGGCAACCACACCGCCGAGGCGATTCAAGATACCATCGATCTCATAAACAAAGCCGAGTTCTCCCCTCCCACCTTCGAGGACGGCGGCTCAGCCGAAGACCAGCTCCGGCGCAAGTCCGCCGCCGCTTCCCGCAGGACACGCGCCGCATATGACGACGACGAAGAAGAAATCCGCGGGTTCCTCGGTGACGACGACGATGAAGGCGGTATCGGCGAAGACTTCCTCTTTGCACCGGGTGGCCCCACCGCACGTAAGCCGGACGCCAGGCCGCAGAAAAAGCGCCAGCGCAGGCGCCGGAGAGAGGCTGGCAGTGGAGACGAGGAAGATGAGGGGGTGTCGGATGAAGTGTTGGCTGCGCGGGCGAAGAAGAGGAGGGAGAAGGAGCTGGAGAAGATGAGGAAGATCAAGAGTGAAATGTACGTGCATGCAAGCGACGACGAGACGGACGATGAAAGGGATCGGGAGTTCTTTGAGCGTGAGAAGAAGAGGCAGGAGGCGAAGGACTCGACTTTTGATAGCATGCTTGGAACGTTGGGGTTGTCAGTGTTGTCGCAGGTAAATGGTGGGGAGAAGAGCGCGTGGGAGGCGGTGTTGGATGATGAGGATGGTAGTGATGGGAGTGAAGGTGAGGGGGGGAGGAGTGCGAAGCGGAGGAAGAAGCAGGTTGCTTCTGATTCCGAAGAAGAAGAGGAGGAAGAGGAGGACAGTGATGAAGAGTTGCCGACGAAACCGGTTAAGGCCTCAAAGACGAAGAAGAAGGCAGCACCGAAACGACCAGTAAGGAGGTCTGCGGCACTCAAGAAGAAGGCTGTTGTGGAGCTCAGCGACGATGAAGAGGAAGAGGAAGAAGAAGAAGACGAGGAGGAGGATGCCATGGACGTGGATTCGGATAACGAACGCACGACAACGAAGGACGCACCCCCGCCATCCAGCCCCGGTGACGGGCTAGGGAGGAGAATAAACAAAATGGTGATGGATGATAACGACGAGGATGAGGATGATCAGCCGGTTGTGGCCGCTCGCCAAAGGCCTAGAGCCAGGGGAGGATTCGTCATTGACAGCAGTGATGAAGAGTAGATAAAGACACCACTGTGTCTATGTTTCATTGATTACCGCAGTGTAGTTTGGTCCGGTTGATGGGAATATTCAAGAGCATAGCGTGTTTGGTTGGGGTTTGGGGTTCTGGTTTGGCTAAAAGAGGCTAGAAGTGTAAGAGATTGTATGAGATACCATGGGATTAAAAGCAGCTGTCACGAGTCACTTTACGTATGCAATGCACCAAAATATCTGGCCCTCCGATCATTCACTTATATGTTGTAAACAGATCCTTCCGTGCCACACTGCAGTCGTGCTTCCCGCCCATTGGGCGATTAGACTGGGNACGTTGGACTCTACCAGTATATGGCTTATGCATGTATAGAACTTAATACCACTAGAGGAACCAATTAAAGACCATTACCTAAGACAAGGTGCATAAACCTCACAAATCCAGATTGCCAGCTAGCCGGTACCCCCCATTAGGCATTTACAACAATACCCTCCCACATGTTCTCTTCTGCCTCCTTTCATTCGCATTTCCTAAAATCCATCCAACTCTTACCAACTCTTTACAGTATCCTCAACCACCTACCTTGAAATATAAAACATGACCACCTCCACCTCTCCCAAAACTTTCCACCCCTTCCCTTGCCTCCCCTGGGAACTCCGCGCCCGCATCTGGGAACTAACCATCTCACCACGCACGGTCCATATCCAAGTTAAAACACCGCAACGAGAGAGACGACCATCTCAACTACCGAATCGCGCCGGTATCTTACAAATTAATATTCACCTGCACTACACTTTTCATTCCAACAGCAGCGCTCCATGTCTGCCAGGAAGCCCGCCATCACCTAACTTACCCTTTACCCTAAAAAACGACGGAAGGGAAGTTGGTGGATATTATGAGAAGGTGTCCGCTGCCGACCTCATCAGCGCCGCAGAAAGGCGGTCGCATGTTTGGGAAGAAAAAACCGAAGCTCAATTTTTTAGTAACCCCCCAGATCAGGGCCGCTACATCTAGGTCAACTTCGCGGTCGACATTGTCGACATTGGCTTTCGGCGTTTCTCGCTGGCTGCAAACTACGCTTCCAAGATCAGGCGGGTTAGGTTCAAGGTTAAGATGTCTAGTGGGCCTATCATTGACGTTCTAGCGGCGGCGGCGCCAGGATGGCGTGAAGGCAGGTATTGCCTTCCTAATGTGAGGGAAACGGAGATAGACTGCTTGAGTTTTGATTGTTTAGCTGAATGTCTGGTCCGGAAGCGGATGGGAGATGATTTGGTTTGTCGGATGGAGGATCTGGTGTGTGTAGATCCTCCGGGGGAGAGGAGGACACTTGTGGAGGTTCTAGACGTAGCCCAAACGAGAGGAAGATAGTAGTCTGAATAGTTACCTAGAAGGCGCGACGGGACTTGTGTATGGGAGAATGGAAGTCACTACAAAATAACTGATACCAGAAGGAGCACAAGACTTCCGAGGGAGATAGGAAGGAGGACGTTGTCAAAGGCTAGAGATGAGGTAGGTAAGCCAATGCATGATTGGGAGCTGGGGCGGGGACGAGAGGTTGTGCACATAGTTTCAAGTCAAAGTCTCCAGGCCTTTGGAGGACGTTCTTTTCTTCATCAGAATCAAGCACTTATATTGCATCTCTGGATGTTCCGGTTTCTTTGTTTTGAGGATGAACTGTTTCGAGTGTAGATATCTACCCACCATCGTGGGAAAAGAGAACCCTCGCCCCTTACATCTGGGTGAATTTCGAGGTCGACATGATCGATATAGGCAATAAACGTTTTGAACTGCCCGCACGCTACGCTTCCAAATTCAAGCTGATCAAGTACATGTACAATTCGTCCATGTCGTCAGTTTATGGGCTTTTGAAGTTCTGATGCTAGCGCCGCCAGGCCGGTTTCGCACAGTTACACCGCCAGGGAAGAAGTGCTTTCCGAATGTGAAGGAAGAGAAGATAGATTGCCCTGACTTGAATAACTTAAGAGTCGAGGCAGGGGGACATTCGTGGTGCAGAAGAGTGGATTGGGAGTCGAAGGATATTCTTTGTATAGATCCCCAGGGAAAAAGGATGACGCTTAAGGAGATTCTGCGAGGATTCTGAAGTGGTTGGAGGACGCCAGTGTGACGAACCGTTACAAGCACAGGAGTATTATCGCTGGGATAGAACAATAGAGTAACAGTGTAGTAGCCAAAAGGTACTGATAGATTGTGATAGCTATTGCTTGCTGAAGAACCAGGTATAACGAAGGCCGGGAGGCCTTCTTATATACTGGTCTTCAACCCCGTCCCGTGGTCCTATCTGATTGGTCAATCTATCTAGCTTACATGAGGCTCAACGATTGGATCGTAACAGCCAGACCCTACATGTAATTTTTTCCCGATGACTTATGGGGTTGGCTGCGCTGTCAGGCTTGAATACAGAAAGCTTCGTATAATCTCATATTTTGCAGTTGAAATGAGCATGCAACCTCACCTGGTTGTGCAATGGCTGTCATCGGTGGTGGAGATGATACAAAAGGAAGAGGTTGAGACCTGGACGTTGGGGGACTTTTAGCTTTTTTTTCACTTTATCAACCCAGCTTCTCTCCTTTACCTTTCCTTTTCCCTCTTCGTCCCCTACCTTCCCTTTCTCATTCATTGTGGTATCTGAAATGGAAGAGTTTCATCATTTCTCAGGGTCTTGTAGCGGGCCGATAACTTAAAAATCTATCCCGACCCATGGCCAACGGTTGATAGCGATGTGTAAAGATCGAGAAATATCAACCGTCACAAACTCTTCTACAATCTAACCCTGGTTTGTTTGTTAGTCTGGTACAAAAAACGCCTATCTCTACTCTCGAGGCAAATGAAAAGCACTCGGGGCTTCGAGTAGACGGGTGATAGGGACTCCCATCTCATATCCCCTAGACTTGGAGGCCCTCAGAGAAACCGAGAGGGACAGAAAAGAGGCTTTCGTACCTAGCTTACTAGACCATCATCATTGTCAATTGCTTCAAACGAAAGCCAAAAAGAAGGCCAATGAGAGCTCCAGTTCGCTTTTTTCCGACCCTTGTCCGAAGAACCAAACCGACAAACAAACCAGTATTGTGTTGTAAATTTGAGGTTGGGGATGGGCCGATATATTGAAAAAGCAAAACAGTTTGCCAACTGGCTGGCTACCCCTCGTTAAGTATAACCCCAATGCCATGCTCACTCTTACCTTTTCTTGTGTCTGTTTTCATTCTCGTCCAATTCCATCGGTTTCTTGTCATTAATTCGGCTTCCCGAGGGTACCAGCTCATTCATCTTCTCCTCAGCTACTGAATAACACTTAACATGGCCAAGTCCACCTCCAACAGAACCTTCCACTTCTTCCCCCGCCTCCCCTACGAGCTCCGCATTCTCATCTGGGAACGGGCCGTCAGGCCACGCGTTGTCGACATTCGCTCCAACCGCCACTTCAAGGACCATCCGAGCTTTCCTAAAACCCTCGAAGCTGGTCGCTGGATACATCAGAACTAGTCATAACGCCACTCATTCCCGCTCCCGCCGTGCTCCATTCGTGTCGAGAAGCCCGCAATCACCTAACCCAACCCACACGCACACGTGCAAGCGGCTACTATGAAAGGGTATCGGTGAAATGCATCGTCACACCACCGCGGAGTGAGGGAGAAGGACAGATCGAAGACGACGACCCCTACACCTGGGTGAGCTTTACGATCCATTGGGTTGACATAGCATCAAGACGCCTCACGTTGTCTGCACACTACGCTTCTAAGATCAGACGACTCAGGTTCGCGGCTCCGTTAGGCAGTCAGCCTGCCGTTGAGGTCCTGGCGCCAGAGAAGGACGAGGACTGCTCTCCCAACGTAAAAAAGGAGGTGGAGATAGACTGTCCTGATGGTATACAAGCCGCCGTGTTTCCCAAATTCCGTGACCTGCGGGTAAAACACTGGCTAAGATCGATGAGCCCCTTGTTGGGTAGCATGGAGTGCCCCCTGGGGTATGATACTTATGAGCTTAACTTGCCGCACCCTCCCAAATGTCTTCGCGTACCCTTTTTGACTTGACGTACCCTCTGGCAGCTGGTAGTATAAGCGGGTCGTTTTCGGTTGTAAGTTGTCACTACCACTCAATGCATCACCAACCTCACTGCATCGCCAACCTCACTGCATCGCCAACCTCAACGTATCGCTAACTTCAATATATTAATAAAGCCTTAGCACATCGCTCAAGTTCTATTCTTTCTCCCTTCCCAAATTCGTCCACGGGTGATTAGCGATACAATGAATGCGGTATGTGGTGGTGTAGTGAGGTTGGTGATAGAACTAGCGGCGCGGCTGGCGCAAAGGCATCCGAAAGTTTGGAACCTCAATATTATTTTGCTGGAATTTACTATACAAAACAGTGGATGTTTCATGTCAGCTGTCACTCAGCTGGCATAGTGGAGTAAGAGGGTACGCGAAGTTAAAAAGGGTACGTGAAGACAAGAGGGAGGGTGCGGCAAGTCAAGCTCATACTTATAGATCCCCTGGGCAAGAGGATAACGCTGAGCGATGCTCTTGATGAGACCCTAAAGTCTGCGCGGGAGAACCACGAGCCTGTGTATAATTTACTGTGACTTGAAAAGTGGCTAGGGTAGGCTTTCGCGTATGAATCCAAGTTGTTAATGAGAGTATCTCTTTGTTTCGAGAGTGCAAATCTGACGATGCCCCCAATTTGGAGCCAGTTGTCCTATTATTGCCCATTGGATCAAGGTTTCAAAACCGACAATCTGACTAGCGGGCGAGCCACTATGTGTGTTTGTTGCTCCGCCCAGGAATCTCACGAACCATGCTCCATGCTCCTGTATGCCCGTAGCCGGACCGGTTGGTACTCATCCTCAGGTCGGAGATTCCAAGACCTCTTAAGGGAATTTACCAGTCTCTACCAGTTCTATCACTTGGGTATCTGTCTCTCAAAAACTCCATCCGAGGCACATCTAACCCTGACTTAGCTTACCGACCCATGGTGTGTAAACCCTCACTATTCGCTAAATGTCGATACCATATATGCAAAATAACCAACGCAAAAAGGATTCCAGACCCACATATAACGAGACCGTGTTACGCCTCCCTCCCAAACCCAAAACCTCCAACCGGAACTGAAAACCCCTCTCACCTCCAGATCCACGAAGAACTGACCTCTAGGTAGATTCCATCTACGTCATTAATGCCGAGGCCGCCACCGGGGTCCGTCCCACGGGTTCGCCCTGAAACCCCTAATCGTCCTGGACAAGCTCCTTGATCTCCTCCCTCCCGCCAGGCAACAACTGCGCCCCGCCACCACCCGTCGCCAGCAACTTCTCGGCGTCCTTCGCCGTGAAATTGAACCGGTCAATCACCTTGCCGCCGTCCTGGGCCCAGAAGCCGACTTCGTCAATGATATCGTAAACGATATCTTCAACTATTTGCTCCTCGTAACGGTCCGATACCGGGCATAGTGGTTTTTGATTCAGGACACTACCGTCGTCGAGCATGTCCACGTCGTCCTCATCGCCGCCTACCCCGTTCTGCTGCTTCTGGGGGAGACCAGAGCCGGGTGGCGGGAACCAGAAGTCGGGGCCAAAGTTAACCTCGACGGCGCCGCCGCGGAAGACACTCACGGCTGGGTAGTAACCTACGGTTCCGTCGTCGAGGGCTTCCCTGCCGGCGTGTGCCCCTGACTGCGTGCTTTGTTTTGAGGCGGGTGGCAAAAAGGCAAAGAGGTCCGTCCAGGGGGTGCCCATGTCCTTTCCGTTTTTGTAGATCTTGATGTACGAGTTTGGTAGTGTCCGTAGTGATGGCAAGGGGTGATTTGGGTTTGGTTGTTCGGGTGAGTTTGAGCCTGCCGATGTTACCGGAGCCGGGCTGAAGAGATCTTCTAGTTCTTTGGTAGTGTGGTAGTCGATCTTTTCGAAGTAGATGTGCTGCTTGAACCGAATGGGAATCCGGTCCCGAATAATGTTAGGTGCTTCCAACGACGGTTCGTCGTCTGCCAAATCCACCGCAGGGTTGTAATGCCCCGTTACAATCTTCCTGTGTAGGTGCTCGGACGGAAGCTGGATCTCGAGCCCGATCACATCGCCTTCTTTGATCTCCTCGCCGGGCGGGAAGAAGTCTTTAGGCCGCGACATGTGTACCTTCTGTCCTTCCACGTCGCGAATGCCATAACTGTAGCAATCGAAGCCGACAGGAGCGTCGAGAGAGGCCTCACGCCGCGCCCAGCCCAAGCGAACGTGCCCATGTGCCTTGGTATCCGCTTCAGAACCTGGCTCGCGTAGGGTGCCTCTAGTTACCTTACACTCCCAGTACCATCTGCCCTCGCGCACGGCCACGTTGGCTCGTGACATACGGAAGCCCTTGTCGGTTGTGACATGACGGCCCTGCCGGTCGAAGTATACGTGAGAGGCAGAGTCCTCAAAGGCCATGTGGGCAGCGTACGGCTCTGTCTCGGTCTGCCGATAATAGAACATCGAGGGAAAGGTCGGGTCTGCTATACAGTGGGTGTAATGGAATGCTCTCTTATTGAAAACACTGTCGAAGTAGGCCAGTTAGCGTGTGTTCCCCTTTCATCGAAGGAGTAAAGGGTAGGTATATAATGCATACTGTTCTGTAGCATCAAAAAACTCTATCGTCTCGCCCTCAGGTCCTTGAACTTCATGATGGCTGTTGAAGACCGGACCACGAGCGGGCTCGAAATCAGTGAGCTTGGGCGGAGCTAGCTTGTAGCGCGCAGGGAGCAGTTCGTTGATGGAGGGCTCCTTGTGTTGCTGCTTGGGGTCGGGAGTTGCTCTAGAACTGTCGGAACCACCAGCCGCTGCCTTGGCCTCCCTCTTCTTAAAGGAGTCCTTCTTTGTTCTCTTCTCGCGGTTCAGAACTGCTGCTTGTTGGGTTTCCTCGGGTGCTTGTATTTGAACTTTTGGAGCGGCTTTATTTTCGGGGTTCAGGGGGGATGGAACCGCTGGACTATGGTCGTCTTCGAGTGCGCGCTTCTGAGGGATTGTTGTGGCAGCTCCTGAAGGTGTTTGCTCCCTTCGGGGAGAACCAACGTCGCTGGCCATATTCGACCGGGCAGGCGTCGTGCTAGCAGTAACGGATGTTGATAATTGGCTGAGTTGTATAGTTTGTGCTCGTGAGCTGTTCTCCTTTTTGAACTCGACTTGGGTTTGGACTCGAACGGCGAGGACGTCAAGTCGAAAGTATCGGCGGGACCAAGTCTGATCGACGACAGCTATGGATGGTAAGAATGACCTGAAAGAACTGGTAGTAGACCTGCGAGAAAACGCTTTGGTATTCGAAGTAGAAGCAAACTTTGCGAGGAAAATTGGGTTCCTGAGTTCGGGTTCTGGGGAATTGATGTTTGTGGTAAGATCCTTGGAAAGAGTTTGGAGATGCAAGAAGAAACAAAGACATGTGAAGCAGAAATGATGGAAGCTTCAATCGCATTGCGACTGACGGCAGCGTGTCGCGACAAAAGGGTGGGGCTTCCGTCTGTTAGTGGGCTCCATTACGAACAGCAGGCAGGGGTCCCGGAGCTTGTCCTGCTTGTTAGTCACCAGCCTTGTAGACCATTAAAACGCTAACAGCGGGCCAACTGCCTGCCGCAAGGACGTCTTTTGCTAACGGTCGACACTTGGAAAGACGCCAAGACAGTTGCGTCGCGGGTGATCCCATTGTTCGCCTTGACGCCAGCAGTTTGAATTTCTGGATTTCTTCCCCGTCAACAACATTCCAACACTTTCATTTCCACGACAACCCCAACCCCGATTAGTCCTCTCCATATACCAAAACGGCTTTCGCATCTCTACAACGCCCGACGAACATACATAACGGTCGAGCGACAAGATGCCCGTCGTCAAGGGAGGAGTGTGGACCAACATCGAGGATGAAATCCTCAAGGCGTCGGTCAGCAAGTATGGCCTGAACCAGTGGGCCCGCGTCTCGTCGTTGCTGGCCCGCAAGACCCCCAAGCAGTGCAAGGCAAGATGGGCCGAATGGCTGGATCCCAGCATCAAGAAGATCGAATGGAGCAAGGAGGAGGATGAGAAGCTGCTGCATCTTGCCAAGCTGATGCCGACCCAATGGCGTACCATCGCCCCCATCGTTGGAAGAACCGCGAACCAGTGTCTGGAAAGATATCAAAGGCTTCTTGACGAAGCTGAACAGAGAGAGTCATCGGCTCTTGGGTTAACGGGCCCTGACGGAGGCGAAGCCCACGCGCCCAGCGCCGACGATGTTCGCAAACTACGACCCGGCGAGGTCGACCCCGATCCGGAGACGAAACCGGCCCGCCCCGACACCATCGATCTCGATGAAGACGAGAAAGAAATGTTGAGCGAAGCTCGCGCGCGTCTGGCCAACACACAGGGTAAAAAGGCCAAGCGAAAGGCCCGTGAACGACAGCAAGAGGAGTCGCGCCGGCTAGCCGCTCTTCAGAAGCGTCGTGAGTTGAAGACGGCCGGTATCAACATCAAGGTTACGACCAAGAAGAAGGGTCAGATGGACTACAATGCCGATATTCCATTCGAAAAGAAGCCAGTTCCTGGATTCTACGACACCACCGAGGAGATGTCTCGCAACGAGTACCAGCGCTCCCATTTCGACCCCAAGAAGCAGCAGGTTGGGAACAAGCGTAAGGGCGAAGAGGATGAGAGAGACGGCAAGAGGAGAAAGGGTGACAAGGACCCATCTGTGCAGGCCGCCCTCAAGGCTGGTCAACTGCAGAAGATGCGGGAAGCAGAACAGAGCAGCAAGCGGAGGTCTTTGGTCCTACCAGCACCACAGGTCGGCGAAGGCGAGTTAGAGGAAATCGTGAAGATGGGCATGATCGGCGAGCGTGCGAACATGTTGGCTCGTGAAAGCGACAATGACGCAACTCGCGGCCTTATCAACAACTACTCGACACTCAACACCAATGCGCCAATCCGAACGCCGATGGCCCCTGCTCAGGAAGACCACATTGCAAACGAGATTCGCAACATCCGGGCGCTAACAGAGACACAATCCTCGCTTCTTGGTGGAGAGAACACCCCTCTACACCAGGGGGCTGGCTCTACCGGCTTTGAGTCGGTTGCGCCTCGGAAACAGGTCATGTCAACCCCTAACCCCTTAGCCACCCCCTTGCGGGCTGCTGGAGCTGGTCCTGGCGCCACGCCCCTCCGCGTCGGCCAGACACCGCTGCGCACTCCCCGTGATACCTTTGCTCTCAACGATGCTGGCGAAGAAATGTCACTGGTAGGCGGCACACCCCGGGATGCCAAGATGCGCGAGATGTCTATCCGACATCAGCTTAAGCAAGGCCTCGCGTCTCTTCCCAAGCCCAAAGAGACCGAGTGGGAGCTCGAGCTGCCGGATGATCAGCAGGAACCCAAGACAGCTGAGCAGCTGGAGGAGGATGCTGCTGAACGTGACCGTCGGGAAAGGGAGATCAGGGAGGCACGAGAGCTGTTGGAGCGCAGGAGACGTACGCAGGTAATGCAGCAGGATCTGCCTCGGCCTATCCAAGTCGATTACCAGTCTCTGCTAAAGGAGGCCTCGCAGGTTGAGGACCCCGTCAAGGTCCTCGTCGCTCGTGAGGCGGCCTTGCTCGTAGCTCATGATGCCACCAGGTATCCTCTACCGGGAGCTCAGCCAACTGCCCGGGCAGTGGAAATCCAGAAAATTGACGACGCTGCGTTGCAAGAGGCCAAGCTCCAGGTTCTAATGGAAATCAAGGATAAGCCCAAGCCCGAGGAAGTCCAAGCGGCGTGGGAAAAGAGCAACAGCAGCTCCCTTTTGCTTGGCCTGGGATGCTATGAGGACGATGAAGAGGAGGAGCAGATTTCAACCATGCAAATTGCGCTTGAGGTATGTTCCCCTAACTAGTATTCGATATTGTCGAAGTGTACCAACTAATCCAACCTTTCAGGAGGTCATTGACCAAATCGTTGCCTCGGCCGAGAAGGGCAACAAGCTCGAGAAGAAGCTCAACCTGCATCTTGGCGGTTACAAGAACCGGGCTGAGATGCTGCGGAAGAAGATCAGCGAGGCTCACGAGGCTTTGGAAAAGGCGAACAACGCTCTGGGTGCTTTCAAGGTTCTCCAGACCTCGGAGCAGGCTGCTATTCGCAACCGGCTGGCGGCGCTGCGTGGAGAGGTGGGCTTCGTCAGCACCAGGGAGAGAGAGGCGCAGGAGTTGTATAGGAGGACAAGGGAGGAGTTGGACACTTTGACGCTTAATGGGCCGAAGACTAATGGGTTCCTCTGATAATGTGCTTGGGGGGGGGGGGGGGGTATAGGTCAAGGTTGTGAATAGTGAGTGTTGGTTGTTTGATGGCATAGCTTGACGTATCTGGAATTTGTCTATAGAATGGCACAATGATCACCGACGTCAAAGAGCAACAAAATTAGAAGCGTTTAACAATATCCGTATATATAGAGGACATCTCTAGGAGTCCTAGTGTGAAGCCATGATCATATAGCTCGAGGTCGAGTTCCCTCTCCATGTAGGCCGGTTCTTCACCTTGAGGCTCTCATGGACCGGACCTGGACGGGGATAGTAAAAACATTGTCCAGGCCCAGCTCTTAGGAGGTTGGTCAGTCAGGGTGCCCGGAACGCCCCATTTGGCTGGCCGGCTGGGCCGAGTGTTTTACTCCACGCCCTGAGGCGGGCTTCCCGCTTCGCTAAGAGGATCCCGCAGATCGCTTGACCCCGCTGCGGGGAGGGGCACTTCAGGCGCTTGATCAGGGCGTTCCCGCGTTCGTCTCAACTTGTTTGACTTCTCGAGAGTTTCACCAACTTCTTGCTTCGACAAAGCTCCCATCAAGAAACACAAATTCGAGGTGTCATATAAACAGCCAAGATAGCACCTAAAATAACTTCAGAATACATCCATCCGACAACTACAGAGCCAAACAACACCCGAGCCCCGACAATGTCCGACGTCAAGGCCAACGCCGAGGCCCTTGTGCCCAAGTTCAAGTTCGAGCGCCAGCTGAACCAAGGTGCGTAACCATCCACTTGCCCTTTCTTATACGTACCGTTGCACACTCGGATGGAAATACCGAAAGAGCCACCTGGGAAGCTTTGAAAACCTCCATGACTGTATACTAACCCTCCGCCCTCCACCTAAACAGACCAAGCTGGGCGCCGCACCACCCTCCTCGGCACCATCGACTCCCAACCGGCCCTGCTAGTCCTCGAGCGCGCCCCCTTCCCAACCTCCACCGACTACCTCTCCTCTGCGCCCTTAACCCTCCGTACGCTCAAGAACTTGGGCGCCAACGACATCTACCACTGGTACATGGCCAGCAGCGGCGCTGTTTCCACAAACGAAGAGGAAGACTTCTCTGACCTCAAAATCAACCTCATCTACCCGTGCACGCCCAAACACATCGCCAAATACTCCCGGCAAGCAGTCCGCTACGTATCCGAGACGCCCCAGATCTACCGGGACCACGTGCGTCCGTACATGCAAGCGCAGCGCGAGTCGGGGAGGCTGAACTGGGCGTTTAACATCGTCGAAGGCAAAAAAAGAAGTCGAGGACGTGATCTACCGGACTCCCTACGGCCAGGACCCGGAAGAAGGGTTCCTGTTGCTGCCAGACCTGAATTGGGACCGTAAGACGCTGGCCGCCTTGCACCTACTTGGGTTGGTGGAGAGGAGGGATATCTGGAGCTTGCGAGATCTCAAGAAGAAGCATGTGCCGTTTTTGAGGCATATGAAGAGGAAGTTTGTTGAGGCTACGACCAAGGTGTACCCGCAGATCGACGAGGACCAGCTGAAGCTTTATGTGCACTACCAGCCGACGTATTACCACTTTCACATTCACATCGTGCATGTGCAGCTGGAGGCCGGGGCAACGCAGGCGGTGGGTAAGGCGGTGGGATTGGATGGTATTATTGAGACGTTGGAGGTTATGGAAGGGGATGGGGAAGCCGGCATGGACAAGTTGACCATGAGTTATACCCTTGGGGAGGAGAGTGACTTATGGAAAGATGTTTTTGGACCGTTGAAGAAGAGAAGGAGCAGCAGCAGCAGCAGCTGAAACATGAGAGGGAGGAACTGAAGATTTGAATTGAGGTGACTAATTAGGTAGGTGTGTTTAGTTCTCACGTCCGTACAGCTTCTCCACCGCCAGGACTAGGTCGTTAACGCTGGAGCCGTGAGGGCAGTCAGACCACTGACCGCCGTCGCGGATGCAGAAGATCTCGTTGTCGAGGCGGACGGTACAGCTCTTCGTTACGCCGGCCTAGAGAGGAGAGGAGAGAAGAAATATGTTAGATACCACATAATATCATTACGACGGAGTGGTTCGGTCTTGGAGGGGAGAAGGGACAATACATACATCAGCGCTTCTCTTGACACTGTCTTTGAGCAGAGCCATGCCCAAGGCACCGTCGTCCTTGGTAGCACATTGGTTGAGCTTGTCAAAGTCGATGGCGTGCTCGAGCGCGCAGTCCTCGATCAAGCTGCGCTGAGGGATCTCATCGTAGTTCTTGGTTAAACACATAGTGAAGCCAAGGAAGATCTTGGGATCGGGGTACAGCTTCTGGGCGCAAAGCTCGATGATGTTTCCAAGGCCTAAAAGAAAAGTACAACCGGTCAGCATATCAGTCTCCACGTGTGGCACATCCGTCCCGTCTGTTTCCCAGAATGGAAAGGCAATCTTCCACTTACACTCTTCCGGACCGTGCTTGCAAGCAACCCCATCATCGCTGTTGGTCGGTGTTCCGATAAACGACAAGGTAAAGTTGACCTTGGTATAAACCCTCTGCATAGCAGGCAGAACCAACTCCCTAAGACAGTCTCGCGCGTCGGGGCATTTGCTCATGATATGCGCCTCAAGGGCTACCGGTTCGTGTTCAGTAGTGTCACCGCCCACATCGGCATTGGTGGTGGGCGGTATGGCAATGGCGTTGATGGTTGATAGATCTACGAGCGACCATTCCGATAGGCCATCGCTGTCATCGAGGTCCATATCCATATCGAGCCCGCAAAGGGTCCATACCATTACCATCAGGCAGACGGCAACGAGGATGCGACGGAGGGCGTGTTTATCGCGGCCATTTTGACTGTTGTCGTTCTTGTTGGTGGTTTCGGATGGAATAGGCGAATTAATAGTGGTTGGTGTTGTCGTGGGTAGTAGGGTTTTCTCGTCCATGTTGGCGATATTATTATGTATTTGATGGTTCTTGGTCGTATAAAGAATATCTTGTATCACTGCTGCTTGATGTGATATAAGTTTGGAGATGGTCGACAAGGTCAAGAGTTGAAGTCTGTGAGAAAAGAGAAAGAGGCGGCAGATCTGATGTTGGGGTCCAAAGACATCGTCACTCAGATGGGTCACGGCCATCCACAAGTGGAGGCAGGCGCGATAACGTGGAGTGCTAAGGAGCAATTGGATCCCTGTGATGGCGCTTAACTGGGGCGTTACACCGAGAGGAGGCTAGGGGCAGGCAAGCGAGCGAGTAAAGAACTAATGTTCGGTTACATGTAGTAGCTGCCTGCTATCAGGAGAGTAGCTTCCACCAGAAGCGGGCATGGCTTCTTGTCTTTTCAGCCATCAGACCTAACAACTGTTACTAGAAAGATCGCCACGTAGGTAGATATATTGCCGAGTTGTTACGAGATTATGGTTAAAGATGCGCCTATCAAAAGTTGTTGCCCTCTAAACACATGGCCTGGTTCGGATGATGAGAGGTCTCACGCAGTACCCTCGATTGTTTCGTCCCGAATAGAGGCGGGTGCACTAACAATTAGATCAGGGACCTCTAAATACAGGCTGCCGGTAATTTATCTGCTACATGCGACCAACCGCAACCAACCACAAGCCGTCGACGCCATCCATCCCAAACCCCGCAACATCGTCAATCATATCAGCCTTGCCCGCCATTGTGTTGGGATGGAAAGCGGCATGCTGATTGCTCCCGCCCTGGTCTTTGTGGCCAGTTGCCGGTTGCTGATTGCTCCCGCCCTGGTCTTTGTGGCCAGTTGCCGGTTGCTGGTCGTTGGTTGCTAAGTTACGCTCTGTACGGTTGCTCAGGGTTGGTACCTATAAACTCCGATGGATGTTTCCGATGTCACGTATCATCGACCTCCTGGCCTGTCAATGGCAAGTCGTGAATGGGCTGAATGGGTCTTTAGTCCCCTCCGTCCTCCGCGACAATCCACAACATCCTCCACAATCCCATCTAACTGTTCCTCCCTGAACCATGGACTTTACTTGATTCAACCTAAAGCCCGAGTAAGCGCTCGTGATTCATGGCCAACGGTTCCTCCCTCTACGACCAAGTCTTTCCCAGCCTCAGACTATTGAGTCAAGGGGGTTCTATAAAACCACATGCCTCAACCTCCTCTCAACCTCGCCTCAGGAAGTCGGAGTGATCATCTCAATTTCGACAAGACATGATAACGCGATATCACGAACACCTCGAAACCAGACCACCCTAGCTAGACCTCACCTTCAACCATCAGTAAAGAATTGGCAACCATGTCGCCCTCGGCTGTGACCACCATCAGCCGGTTTCTGGAGCCCTTGGCTCTGGACAACCATGTTGCTTTGAACCTATCCAGGGAATTCTACTACAACTTCAAATACCTGTCTGCCGAATCTTTGGACCAGTTTCTACCGACTCCCATTTCCATGTCGATTCTGAGGCCTGTGGGACGTCAGAGTACCGGTCGGTAAGTAGTTCTCTATTAGCTATCCATCGATATTGCCATAGATATTGGCTGACAATGTGATGAATAGCTTCCTTGCCATGGACATGTAGGATTCCCAAAAAAAAAAAAAAAAGTCCTGATATTCACTCGAATGGTACCTGATATTGACTTCCGACTTAGTGGTGGCTCAAACTTGCGAGTGGGCTTCGTGGAGCTACTACCCGATGGCCAAGATCGTCGCCTAAATCGCCTCCTCGAGCAGTCATGGCCTATTCTGGATCACCTGAAAAGTGAGAACTCAGAGAGTCTCTTTCGGTGGGTTGGAGAGCACATTGCACAAGTGGTTCGTGAAGGATGCGAAACATGGGGTTTATCTGCGGAGGAAGAGTTGCCCATGGGCGTCACCTTCAGCTTTCCCATGAAGCAGACCTCACTTTCCGAAGCTACTCTGATGGCTATGGGCAAGGGTTTTGCCATCAAATCAGATCTGGACCTCGGCGGTCACCTCTCCAAGGGTTACGAACAGCACAGGACAGCCGACCTACCCCCCATAAAGATCACCGCCATCACCAACGATGCAGTGGCTACATTGGTGTCCTTTGTATACCAATACCCAGCCGCGCCGAACCAAAAAGCAGCCATGGGCCTCATCGTCGGCACCGGATGCAATGCTACGATACCCCTCAAGCTCAGCAGTCTGCACAAAAACAAATTCCCTGGTCTGATCAGTGTTCAGCAGGACCAGGACCTCTTGGATGCCGGGATTGCGGTGAACACAGAATGGAGCATCAACGGGTCAGCAGCGCCGCTACGCATGCATGGATTGATCAGTCGCTGGGACGAGGAGCTGGATAAAGCAGGCGAAGCACCCGGCTTCCAACCATTAGAGTACATGACCGCCGGTCGTTATCTGGGCGAGCTGGCTAGGCTCATATTTGTGGACTTTTTGACCACTGTCTATGGTGTCTCGGCCGACGATCTGCCGCAGAGGCTTCACCAGCGTTTTGGTCTTTCCACAACCTTCCTCGGCCACTTTTACCCGGATAGTCACAAAGGCGATATGCTGGAGCAGTTACATAAAGAGTTCGAGTTGATCGCGGATACGACATTTACGTGGACATCCGACCATGCGGACGCCCTATATCAAATAGCCAAGGCTATACAAACACGAGCAGCAGGCATTGTTGCGGCAGCAACCATTGGACTTTTGCGCTGCGCCGACGAGATTCCTGACACGTCAGGAACAGCCCAGGATGGCGTCGTGGTTGGCGAGGATGTCGTTGAAGAGCTTGTGGTCGGATACACTGGCGGCTGTATACAGCACTTTCAGGATTACCTGAAAGACACGCAAGCCTTCTTGGATTTTATCACGCAGGAAGAGTTCACCGCCCAAGGGCAACAAATGCGGGTAACTTTAGAGCCCTGTCACGATGGAGGAATTACTGGGGCGGGAATCTTGGTACCTGCTGCTTTGGCTAGCACCCAGGCGTAGGCTTTCGGTTCGATAATGGATGGTACATGATTTAACGTGGAGGGAAAGGTTACTAGCCGGCGTTCGAGGCCATAGAGGGGATAATACATGGTATAAAGAGCCATCATTGTTTCACTCGAATGAGTGGTTATATCCGTCCACCGCATATGAGACATGTTGGTTGTCTCTGGAGAGGAACGTGACCTGATAGTTACCTCAAAAGATGGGGGCAGAAATCAGCAATTACGCCACCGCACTCCATTATACACTACCATTGAGATACTCGGTTACCGGCTCCCGTACTTCACATTTCAAACAGACAAAGAAGGGTTACATGAGCTGAGTGAAGAAAGGTCTTTGAAAAGTTAAAAAAAAAAAAAAAAAAAAAAAAACCGAAAAAGAAAAAAACAGACAATGACCATTAAAAACAAACCTCGTGGTAACGTCCCATCTCAGCCTCTGCACCCACTTTCTGACACCCCGGGCTAGAAGCCATTCAGGTCATGCACTGCACCGAGAGACCAGGGTGGTCTAGCCCAACGTTGGACCCGCTAGACCGCTTTTAACCTCGCCCTCCCACACAAGCCCCTGCCAGAGGGGATCACCACTGCGGAGCCCGAGCATCGGAGCTTGCGGGGGCGAGCGGGTGATGAATTTGGCGAACCAAAAAACTTGGTCACCCGACAGCGAGGATGGTTCACTGCACTGATATGTCTTGAGCTTTTACGCGGGACGACCCGAACATAGTGTGTCACTATGGTGAACCACACGCGTGGTCATCGAATTGCCAGCCACGAAGGCCTGGATCTGCAGAGGCTTTTAGGAAACTAAAAAAAAAAAGTGAGGCAAGCGGAAAACATCCGGTGAAAAAAGCTGAACGGGGATATTATAAGCAAGAGAAACAATGGGGAGGTTAGTAGGGATCTTTAAAGTGGATATTGAACCAAGGTCAAACAGGCATTGATAGCATTGTTGTTTCGTTGTGACTGTCAGCTCGTTTTCTCTCCGAACTCTATCCTTTCTCTCTTTTCTTTTCCTCGACTTCTCACCATCGACCGGGCCCTCACATTCTTCAACACCAGGTTTCTTTCCATGTGGCACACTGTATACAAAAGGACCTCAATGAAACACCAGCAGCAACAATAACCTCACAAAAAAAAATGAGCTCCCCCAACTCCGTCGCTACCGCCATTCTCGCAAACACCACCAACGAAAACAACCGCGATGGCCTCGGTAGTGGTCTACACACGCCCCTAACAAGCCGTTCCCTCCTCAGCGTCAGCATCGGCAACGCCACTGAATCCATGGCCTCATCCATCATCAGCCCACGAACCCGCGGCCGTTGGGACCGGCGAATAAGCGATGTCGAAACCAGCCTTTCGCAGTATAGCCCTACAGCACCAGCGTCTGCAGCACCAGCAGCATCAGCAGCAGCATTACTGGCGTCATCATGGCTCACTTCCGACGACGATCACGGGTACGACGTAGACCAAGGCTCAGTTCGCTCGTCGGTTCTCGACACCCGCCCTTTTCCCTCCTTCGGCCAAGCCTCATCAATAGCGCCCGACTCGTCCTACTACAGCCAAATCGGCCGGTTCCAGGGCGTGCGGAATAGTGTGTCGCTTGCGCAGCCGTGGAGGAGACGGAAGGATTCTACTACTACAGGGTCTTACACAACAACAACAACAACTACTACTGACAGCCAGGCCAACAGTGAATATGGGGATGGGGATGGGGATGCGTCGACAATAAGCGGTAGTCGGCACGAACTACCACCAGCACCACCACCTCCACGTGAACGACAACAACAACAACAAAAACAACAAACAACAACAACAACAACAACAACAACAACAACAACAACAACAACAACAACAACAACAACAACAACAACAACTGCAGTCGTGCTTGGCGAAATGTTTGTTTATTTTACCCCTGACTTATACGATCCCACTCATCAGTTTGCTTGTCGTCGGTGTAAGTCCATATCCAACCCTAACCCTTAGTACAGTGGCTTGTTGGAGCACGTCATTGACCTGGGAAAAGATCGAGGGAACGGCTTCAACACCAGCTTTATAAGTTTGATGACCAAGAGCTTGATGATCATCCCAAAGCTTGAACTATCGCGCCCTTTAATGATCGTCGGCTGAAAGATTAACGAATGGCCGAGCCCAAATCCTCCGATGTCCGAAACAAAGTCGCACTCAGTGAAACCGTTCCCTTTTTGGAGAAGGATTTGCCCCGCCCGAACATGCACACCAATCCGGATATCGCACTAACTATTTACGGTCCACTGGCGCCGTGAACGGCATTGGCACCCGGTAACGCCATATCAGCATGCATGCTAAAGCGCGTCCCGGTCCGGATGTCTTTTTTATCAAAATCCTTTTTCTCTTCTTGTGTTGAGTGACTAAAAAGAGGACGACCGTCGACAATCTCCGTTACAAGAGTAGGTCGCACAAGCTGGCACAATAGTTACCCTCCCGTCATCGATTGTCGGTTGTCTCGGACTCGGGTGTCCTCCGGTGATACCAAGGTACGTGGCTATTTCCGAGCGAACGCTGATGACTACCTACATAGATGCTAATTCCACGTAGCAGATCAGTACTGGAGCTCAAGGTGTCGTGTCTCATTGAGCTGTGCACCGGATCCTTTCTTCAGTGTTTCTTCAAACTTCGGGGTTGACTTGGATTCATCGCCTGGAAAAGCGATAGATCCCACCTAGAAAATGACTGGAATCACAACAGGCCACTCAAACGGTGACCGGGTCGTCGCCGCTCCCGGAAGCAGTCGTCACGACGTCGACGAGACAACATCACTCCTAAGCGGCACTACCCTCGAGGCCAACAAACCCATCAACAAGGCCGTAGAAGACGGCAGTGACGACGTTGGCAGCACTGGTGATGGCGAAATAACCATCGTGGCTGATGAGCTGTCCACCACCCGTCTGGTCGTCATTTTCGGCACAACTTGGGTGGGCGTCTTCCTCGGCGCCATCGATGCCAGCATCATCGCCACGCTGTCGGCCCCCATCGCGAGCGAGTTCCAGTCCTTGAGTCTGCTGTCGTGGATAGCTACCGCCTATCTCATTGCCAATGCGGCCTGCCAGCCCTTATCCGGTCGTATGACCGACATCTTTGGGCGCGGCCCCGGTTTGGTGTTTAGCAACGTTCTGTTCTCGCTAGGCAACCTCATTTGCGGTGTAGCCAAGAATGAGCAGACCATGATCCTCGGCAGAGTAATAGCCGGAATTGGGGGTGGTGGACTGATGAGTATTAGCACCTTTTTGGGATCGGATTTGGTTCCTTTGAGGAAGAGAGGTGTGGTTCAGGGTTTGGGTAATATTTTCTACGGGTAATTTATCATTCATTGCATGCTTTGGCTCATCAGCAAGTTTCTTACTGACAACTGTTTTTGCAGAGCCGGTGCCATGCTAGGCGGTGTTTTTGGCGGCTTCCTCAACGACACCTCCTCCTGGGGCTGGCGCCTTGCCTTCCTCGTCCAGGTTCCCGTCAGTCTTGTCTCGGCCGTGCTGGTCTACTTCCTCGTCAAGGTCCCTCCCAAGGTCTCCAACAAGTCGCTCATCTCGCGCATCGACTTCCTGGGCTCTTTCTTCACCATCACCTTCCTCATTCTCCTACTCCTGGGTCTCAATGCCGGTGGTAACGTCGTGCCCTGGACGCACCCGCTTGTGCTGATCTCCATTCCCCTATCCTTCATCATGCTCGCCGGCTTCATCTATTGGGAATCTCGCCCCTGCAACACCCAACCCATCATCCCCGTCCGCCTGCTCGCCCACCGTACCGTCTTCACCGCCTGCGTCACCAACCTCATGTGCACCATGGTCACCATGATGCTCACCTTCTACGTCCCCATTTACCTGATGGTTCTCGGTCACACCCCCACCCAAGCCGGTCTCCGCTTGCTCGCCTCCCCGCTGGCCGTCTGCTTCACCAGCTTCGGCTCGGGCCTGATCATGAAGGCCACCGGCTTGTACAAGGCGTTGGGCATCGCCGTCGTCTCGACGCTCGTTGCGGGCGTCGCCGTCCTCACCACCCTAGGTCTGCACACTCCCGGCTGGATTGTCTTTGTGGCCCTCTTCCTAATCGGAGGCGGCTACGGCGGCATGTTGACCGTCACCATGGTCGCCTGCATTGCGGCGGTAGACCACTCGCAGCAGGCCGTCATCACGAGCGCTACTTACGCTTTCCGCTCGGTTGGTGCGACGGTGGGCATCACGGTTGCGTCGACGGTGTACCAGAACATCCTCAAGACGGAGCTGTGGGCCCGCTTCGGTGATTGGCCGGGGGCGGAGCAGCAGATTGGTAGGATCAGAGACGACTTGGGCGAGCTGAACAGGTTGCCGCTGGCGTGGAGGGAGGGCGTGATGGAGTCGTTCATGGCGGCGTTCAGGGGCGTTTGGTTCACAGCCTTGGGCATGGCAGCGGCTGGGTTGGTGGCTGTTTCTTTGATGAAGCAGCATAAGCTGCATTCGACCCTCACGAGACGCGAGGATTGAATGAATGGCGGTGGATATGGAGCTGCGCCTTAAGTATGGCTAGAAGNTACTACTACGACGACGACAATTACCAGAACAAGATGAACGTGATGCCGCAGTCGACCTCTTCTCCCAGCACCAATTCATCATGCCCAAGCCAGATGAGACGACGCCGCTTATATTATCAGGAGCAGGAGGGGCAGCAGCAGGTGATGTTGAAAACGGCCTAAATCCTGGAGATCCTGGCGGCGCTTCGGCACTCAACTCATCTCTGGCTACTTTTCCCAGCCACCGGTCCCGCTTGCTCAGGCGGTTGGTTTTTGCGTGCTTAGTTGGGGTGGTGGTGGTTGGGGTTTTGTTGGTGGTTATGATGAGGCCGCCGCCTGCGGCAAGGTGAGAGAGAGGGAGATTTACGATAGTACAAACTGGTACTATTATTGACGATGTTATGAAAAGTGAACGGGATAGAAGGGGATGCAGGCGTTGGGGGGATGGGAATATTTTCGTGTTTAAGCCGGCGCAGGATCTTGTTGTTTCCCCGGGCGTCTTTTTTTTTTTTTTTTTTTNGGTGTTCCGTTTGGTAGGTTTTAAAAGTCTGTTTGGCGTTGCCGTTGCGAAGGGTTCTCTCATTTTTGTTGCCATTTTTCTTTGCTTTGCAATATATTGTCTTTTCTCCTTTGCAACAAGATAGGTTACAAATATGCCAAGCTCTATGATCGCGATGTCCCCAACACACATAAATCAAGCAAAAGTGGCCTCAGCCATTTTGACCTTTTCTTTTCTCCAGTCTGCAATCGCCTGTCGCACATTCTTTTACGCTCTTATCCCAAAATTCCCCTGTGGCGTCACCATGTTACTTGGAATTGTCGCCAACCCACCAAAACCAAAAATGACGCCGCTAAAGAAGGACAGCTCGAGATATGTTCCCCATACACATCGATGGATTTCCATGAGGACGTCAACTTTCAAGGGGTACCTGACATTGTCTGAAGCGAGTTTCCAGACTAATTCATACGGACGGGCTCTTGGAGACTCCCTTCGTCTTGTGTTGACAATCCATATGGCTCGGGTTGCACAGTCGATATACATTCTGATCTCGGTACCCATGCATTGCAACTGACTGAATGGTAGCTCCTCTTCAAATGTGAGGTCATTCCGAGATGTCACGTACATACCATCATCAACATTCCCAATCCTGTTGGCTGTCTGTAAGACGGACGGGGGACTCGTCAGATATTCGGAGCTTGATCTCGGACTCGGAGCAGCAAGCCAATCATACCCCGGTCATTTTGGTGTAAGCTCGGAGTATGGCGGGCGACAGAGACAGATAGCGAATTCCATAGAGGTACAGACTGATTCCTTCGGACGGCTCGCTGCTGACAGCAATTTTTCTCTTCAATTCAATTCCAATTTCTTGTTTTCCCCCACTCTTCTACCCCGAGGATTGGTGTTTCTGCCGTAATTTCTTTACCAAGATTTTTTGATGCCGTAGTCAAGCTATACCAACCAACCTTGTTCAATCGGATTTCACTTTCGGAGTGGACCCTGACTTACACCGAGAGAGACGACTTACACGGCTTCCATTCGGAGGACAGTGTTCCCTAGGGGACTATGGCCGAGCCAGAACGGCGGCCCCTAAGGCTACGGCCCCAAGTGTAAGTGCTCCCTGGTATCTCCTATCGATATTAATAAGAATGTAAGTCACACGAGACTAATGGATCCATCCAGGTCGTGTGCGCTTTGCCGGAGGCGTAAAGTCCGGTGCAATCGGGAGACACCCTGCAGCAACTGTATTCGCTCAAGAACGTCCACGGCTGCGTCTATCAGGTCCATCCGCTTCCGCAACCTTTACCACCTGCACCGCAAAGGTCACCACGTCCGCTCGCTGCTTGTGATACTTCCACCAGAGACAGTCAAGCCCCTCCAAGCCTTGTCCAGCAGGGTCCCTTTGTCCGGTCGGTTCCAATTTCCCGGTCATCGGTTCCGGTTTCAGGTTCTTTCGTCACGATACCACCGTTTCCTACACCTTCAGCAAGCGGATCATCAATTGTTGTCTCGGGCCGTTCCTCGAAAGCTTCGTCTTGCGCCGATGCCTCGAGTTTAACGCACTCACCTGCCGCAACGATTCGGTCTACGGCTTTGGTCTCCAGCTCCAATCCCGACGTACTGAGGAGGAGAATTTGGGAGCTTGAGGAACAGTTGTCAAGAGCAGAACTTTCACGGTCCTCAAACACAGAAGCATCTTCAAGCCCGACAATCACACATGAATCTTCTCTTGCAGGCACGTTCACAACTCAGGCAGCCAGTACCTCTCGGATTGTCAATGTTTTTCACAAAAGCCGTCTGTTTGGCCAGAGCCATTGGGTCAATGGCGTTATCTTGGTGAGCAGTACCCGTGGTAGACGTCCGTTGTCCCCTTTTACCACTGCAGACACTTGTTGACCATAAAGCCCAACACAGCTGTTGGATATTTTCGAAACGTTCGAGCCCATGATCCGCAACGGCACCGCAAATAAGTCCATGGCAGGCGTTCCAAAGTGCAAAGCCTTAGCCCGAACCATCAAGGCCCAACGGACTCCGCCATGGCCAGCCATACCAACTCGCGATCTGCCCCCAAGGGCTATTACCGACCAACTCATCGACTGCTATCTTAGGACTTTTGAGTCCTTATACCAGGTCTTGCACATCCCTAGCTTCAAGCACGACTATGAGGCACTCTGGGAGCCCGCGCCGGTGCATCCGGATCCGGACCAACCGCCGCAGCGTGTCGATATGGCTTTCCTGGTCCAGGTCAAGCTCGTGCTTGCCATTGGCGCCACCGTTTACGACCAAGACTTTTCTCTCCGCCCCTCTTGCATCCGCTGGGTGTATGAGGCGCTCACATTCACCTCGGAACCAGAATTTAAGTCCCAATTGAACATCAAGTCCCTGCAAACCGACATCCTGCTACTGCTAGCGCGTGAAACGGCCGGCATAGGTGGAAATCTGGTTTGGATTTCGGCGGGTTCCTTGCTAAGGACGGCGGTGTACATGGGTTTGCACAGGGACCCGGCGCACCTCCCAAAGAGGACAGTGTTTGCCGCCGAAATGCAAAGGCGGCTGTGGAATACCGTGCTTGAGCTAACAGTGTCGTGCAGTATGAATGCCGGAGCGCCGCCGTAGATATCCCTGGACGACTATGACACAGAGCCACCGGGCAACTACCACGATGAACAGCTTGTGGAAACTCCTGTGGACAATGGGAGTGACCTTTCGCCCGTAATAGCGCAACCAGAAAGTAAATTTACAGAAACTTCCGTTGCAATCGCCATGCGGAAGATCCTTCCCATCAGGCTTGCAATCGCAAGGTTTCTGAACGACCTCGGATCGACTCGTCGGCTGGGCGATATGGCACCTGCATATCAGGAATCATTGGATCTCGATAGGGATCTGAGAGCAGCGTATAGAAACCTCACTCGAACCCTTCAAGTGTTTTCTCGCGACTTGTCCGAGGTGTGCTGGCCGGGTTCATGGTCGCCATCTCTGCTCTTCCCGTCTCAATTTATCGATCTCGTCATCAACCGTGACCTCTTGGCCCTTCACATCCCCTTCTACAGCGCTGCTCTCCACAAAGCTGCCTACGCCTTTTCGCGAAAAGTCGTGGTTGAATCCTGCTTCAAGATCTGGCATGCTGTCAACCCTCGGCCAACCTCCCCTTCCTCGTCAGATGCCACTCGGCAAGATGCCAACGCCCGAAGAACCATCAACCAATACATTCACCGCCTAGCTTCGCACGGCGCAGACTTCTGCCGCAACGCAGGGTTTCAAGTAAGCATGCTCCTCCTCGGCGAGCTGCACGCCCAGATCAGAGAAGAAACCGAAACAAGTGCTTCTCCCGTAGACCGATCACTCCTGCGACCGGATCTGCTCGCTATGGTAACCGAGGCCAAGGACTGGACCATGCGCAGCATCACCGCGGGTGAAACCAACGTGAAGGGATACCTGTTTGCCAGTATGGTGTCGGCGCAGATTGAAGGGATGATGGAAGGCCTGGAAGGAGAGGAGGCACTTGCGCAGATACTGGTGAAGGCGGCGGGTGAGGTTGTGGATAAGTGTGTGCCGCTCCTGGAGATGTTGGAGAGGGAGACGAGGATGAGGATGGCGAGTAGTGGGGACATTGATTCTGAGCAAACGCAAGGGCGAGAACAGAGACAAGGAGAAGCAGGAGCGGGGATGGTATCACAACAACAATATGAAGCAGACGGTTCGGCGATCACTCATGAATCGGAATCGGCGCTGGGAATAATGGGTTACTGGGATATGTTGGTGAGTGTTCTGCCCTTCACCATGTCTTGCTTGGGTCATTTGCTAATTAATGAGTTGACGGCTGCACTGCAGATGTTGGACGCTCAACACATCAGTGATTTTGGAAGCATCGCTGAACCGATGAATTGGGCGTTCATCGGAGCCACGTCATTCAGCGCAGGTGGGCCATTTATCTGGTAGTTTAAGTGACGGTGAAGAGACTTTGGGATGATGAGAAGGAGGCTGGTTGTTTGATGTTGACGGGTTGTACCTAGTATTGTACCCTAACACTCAATCCCCAATTCCTTAGCAGCAATCTTTCATCGAATCGGTTGTGTTCCTTTCAAAGATTGGAACCAGCCCCTGCCTGTTCAAATTCCTTCCCTGTCCATTCGTTCAGATCGGACCACTGCGCCTTCTACCCACAAAAGTGAAGCCTCATGACGTTACCAAACAACATGCCCGTTTTGCAGTCTTCAGGTGAAAAGTCGCGGCGTCGCCTTGGTCAGCAGTACGCGGATGCCAAGACCTGACGATGAAGTGTACGTACCCGCTTTCCCAAAATGTCTGGATGACAGATGAATCTAGGCATCCAGAAATGGGAACGACGACCGAGACTCCATCTATAAAAGTTATCCTTGCCAAAACTTGAACCGAGGCTCGTCTCCAGATCTCAAATTCTGGATTTGTTTTTTTGTCAATACCCAAAAAATTTACGAGGTTCCTCCTCAATCTCCGCTTCTCCTAAGGATCTAAACACCAATATTTCCTGATCCACCCTACATCTCTTTATCATTACCACTCCTGGACCACAGTCGGCTTTGTCTATCTGATACCGAAATCGCCGCCAATATCCAGAAACGGCAGTTCTGACTACGTCCTCAAAACGTCAAGAATTTTTACCAAATACTCAAGAACGGTCTCTGTGACGAACTGATAGCCAAAGTTTGTTGGCTCGTTACTTGCCTCGACTCAGGTCACACCCCAGGCTTATCAACTTAACAAACACCACAAGACAGGCCCGATAGCCACTCCACAGCAACTATGGGACTATCTTCATATCTGCCGAGCATTGTTCCGGCGTTTCCAGAGTATACAGGGCCCTACAAAGTGGGCGCTATTGACATCGAAATCCCAATATCGGAGATTGGCTCAGTGAGCGCAACGCCAAACGAAGCTGATCACATCCACACCATTCAGTTCAGAGTATACTATCCCGCCACCCCCGACACAAATAATGAGGGCATTACCTGGCTCCCGCCTCCTCAGCGTCTTGCTGTTTGGGCTTATAGCCAGTTTCTTGGGTTGAGTTCCAGAGTCGCATCTGTTCTATCGTCAGTATCACACCACCCTTGTCACTGATCGTGAAAACTGGGCTAACTCTGCTTTCAGATTTTTGCCCAGGCATCTCCATTACATCAAGATCCCGGTTCACGCAAACGCTACTCTCCTACCTCCTCAGTCGGCTGGCAATCCGCAAGCTCGATGGCCGACGGTTCTCTTCTCTCATGGACTTGGCGGTAGCCGAAACGCATACAGTCATGTTGCCGGATCTCTAGCGTCTCATGGCATGGTTGTGTTTTGCCCCGAGCATCGAGACGCCAGCGCGGCCATATCCGTAATCCGCGATCCCAAAGACCCCAAGTTGTCGCACATTGTACGCTGTCTTCGCATTGAGCATGTCCATACCCCCGAAGTCTGGGCCAGGCGTGAGACTCAGATCCGGATCCGCGCATGGGAAATAGGACTTCTCATGGAAGCGATCCACCGGATTGACCTTGGCGATAACGACATCATCAAGGCCAACCTCTGTACACCGAGTCTCACTCCGCTGTCAGCTCTGTACCAGTTTACTGGACGACTTGATGTACATGAGCCTGGTAAGATGATCTTTGGCGGCCACTCTTTCGGCGCCGCTACCGTGGTTCAGGTGGTCAAGAGCACATACTATGTCGACCACCCAAACATCGCCAAGTGGGATAACCCTCTCTTCAGACCAGTGGAGGACTCGGCCATCCGCCGTCAGGTCACCGAAAACACACCGACGTTCCTGCTCGATATGTGGTGCTTCCCTATCCTCTCGGCCGCATCCGCCCCTCTCTTCAACTTGCCGCTCCCCGCCTATTCTCCTACCGCTGCCTCTCCTGTCGGCGGTAACGGTATCTTGGCCATCGAGTCCGAGGCATTTTACAAATGGAAGGAGAACATGCACAGCACAGCACGTATCGTCTCCCCGGACCCTTCAGCAAAGACCGTTTCTCAGGCTGCGTTCGAGAGACCAGGTACCAAGAAAAAGAAGGGATCAGCGACAAAGCTAAGCGAGCCTAGCCTTTTCTACGTCCAGAACAGCGCCCATCTAAATCAGAGCGACTTTGGTGTCCTGTTCCCGTGGGCCGTAAAGAAAATCTTTAAGGGAGAGCAGCCTGAGCGGATTCTTCGGTTGAATATGCGCGCTGTTCTGCAGTTCCTGAGAGAGAACGGAGTCAGCGTTGCGAGGACCTGGTATGGTGATCTTGTGGAAGGCGGAACGGAAGAGAACATTGAGCTCAACAAGGAGAAGGGCGTCAATGACGGCATACACGAGGATAAAGCGATTCTTGAGAAGAGATCTACCGCAGAAAAGGAGGGAGACGCCCAAGATGAAAAGAAGGGAGAGAAAACGGCTGGGTCAATCGAGGCCTTGGAGGTGGATCAACATCATCGGTATGGGCGCAGAATCTGGTCCTAGTGAGGCTGGACTGCAGTCGGGTGAGACCACGGCCCAAGAGGCAGAAGAAGCCGAACGCGATGAGGAGGAAATGGAAAGAGAGATGGAGCCTGGAATGAAGCACGATGATGTTGCGGAGCCTGCGACGGCAGCAACTTTCCCTAGTGAGGGCATCACCAGGAATGCTCGGGCGGAAGTAGACGAGCACACAACTCCTTAGGACTGCCTTGTGATGTAAAGTTTGCTGGCTTGGCTGGAATAGGAAGGAGAGGTTTAGAAGGGGGACTTCGATACCTAGGATGAGACAAAGCTTCCGCAAGGAAATCATTGATAGACGTCAACCCTTCTGGCATACACAAAAGAATATTACACAACCCGTTCCTGAATCCATATCAGAGCCTCTCTGAGTGGGCATCTTGAAACCGCCACAGCCAGGAAAGTGTTGCGCGCGATGAAATATGATGCAAGAATAACCAGAGGATGTTCTTGTAAGTGAGACTTCGGCAGGATGGGTGTATGACGGGTTGAAGTCGGGAAAAGTGGGGTTGTGCCGGCTTGTTGCCGGAGTACGAGCTCCACCCGGCAGGCAACTGGAGCTCTTGTGGGGCGGTTTCAGCGTCACATTCATTCGCTAGTGCCGGGATGGGCTTCGCTTCGAGTTGACGGTGTCGTGCCATTGATCAACTTGACATCGAAACTTCCCCGGAATTTTAGCTTTCACACCACTCTGAACATCAAACAGCACTATTCGGCCCATTCATCTTGTTCTTACACGGCATAACAACAAGACGAAATCCCCACCGGCTAAGATTCATAGTGTCCCGCAAGTTAACGATCATCAACCGTCCATAATGTCGAACCTCAAACGCCCTGCGAAAGAGGCCTTCGACGCCGTGGAAGGCCTCTCGCCAGCTTCGAAGAAGTCTAGAATCGATGATTACAGCAAGAGCCTTACACCAGCAAGCGCAGTCGAAAATGGCGACGAAACACGCGAAGGATCAAACGAGGAGAAGGCGGAACAGACCAATGGCGACAACAACAACAACGCTGAAGTAAACGACGAGGAGGATGACGACCTGAGGGCGGACGAGGACGAGGAGGTCGAGGAGAAGGCGCCAATCCGACAAGCCGCGCCAACAGAAGGCTACGACGATCTCTACCTCGACACCATCGACCGCAACGTTCTTGACTTCGACTTTGAGAAGCTATGTTCCATCAGCCTGTCCAACATCAACGTGTACGCGTGCCTCGTATGCGGCAAGTACTTCCAGGGTCGCGGCCCAAAATCGCACGCCTACTTCCACGCGCTCGACGAGGGCCACCACGTGTACATCAACATGAGCACGCAAAAGGTCTACGTGCTACCGGAGGGCTACGAAGTGAAATCCAAATCGCTCGACGACATCAAGTACGTCTCGGACCCGCGCTACACGCGCCAGGAGGTGATGGACCTAGACCGCAAGCCGCACCTGTCGCGCACGCTCCTGGGGAAGGAATACGTGCCCGGGTTTGTGGGCATGAACAACATCAAGGAGAACGACTACCTGAACGTGATCGTGCAAGCCCTCTCGCACGTCTCGCCCCTGCGCAACTTTTTCCTGCTGGAAGACTTCTCCAACGCGCCCGAGCTCGTCAAGCGCACATCCATCCTCTTCCGCAAGATCTGGAACCCGCGCGCCTTCAAATCGCACGTCTCCCCCCACGAACTCCTCCAGGAAATCTCCCTGCGGTCCAACAAGAAATTCACCCTAACCCAACAATCCGACCCCGTCGAGTTCCTCTCCTGGTTCCTCAACCACCTGCACCTCGGGCTGGGCGGCTCCAAGACCAAACCCCACTCCTCCGTCATCCAGCACATCTTCCAAGGAAAACTCAAAGTCGAATCGCAAGCCATCACCGCGCGCGCCGACCAGGTGCACGATCGTTTACGATTCGAAGAAGCCACGGACGTGCAATCTTCCGTTTCCCGCTTCCTTCTTCTGACTTTAGACCTACCGCCCGCACCTTTATTCCAAGACGAGCAAGAACGCAACATCATCCCGCAAGTGCCCCTGACCACGATCCTAGCCAAATACAACGGCGTAACGGCCCAAGAACTCAATGCCCAGCGAAAGCGGTACCGACTTCAACACCCTCTACCCCCATTCTTGGTGTTCCACATCAAGCGGTTCAGCAAGAACAAGTTTGTCTCGGAAAGGAATCCGACCATCGTGACTTTCGATGCGCGCAACTTGGACGTTTCGCCCTATGTGGAACCGGATCCGAATTCGCAGCATCAACACGGGGAGCCCATTTGGTATGATCTGGTAGCGAACGTGGTGCATGAGGCGGTTAGGAATAAGGAGGATGTGGCGGATAGTGTCGGGGAAGAGAGGAAGACGTGGAAGGTGCAATTGCGGGATAAGGCGACGGATGAGTGGGTGGTGGCGCAGGATTTGTTTGTTGATAAGGTGCGGAGAGCGAGTTGTTGTATTTGAGTGAGAGTTATTTGCAGATTTGGGAGAGGAGAAGGGAACCTCCCATGGGTAAGGGGAAGGGGAAGGCGTGATGATCGGATCACAGGTGCATAGGTAGGCGGAGGATATCCGTACAAGACACTTGGTAATGAGCAATGGCTCTTGGATGAAAAAGTGTAGTCATACCCGGTGGGATGGAAAAACATATATACGCATTCTGAACTGCGTTTTCTTTTGCCGTGAAGCCTGGCCGGGAAATCAACCGCTTACCCATATGTCTGATATGCCTCATACATCACTACAGTTACATATGCTCAAGATCCATCAACCTTGCCACGAACAAGCATATATTGGTCGTAATATTTCGCTTGGCTTAGTCCACCGTCCCATCCCATTTCATCCAGCCGTCCATTCAACCATCCGACCTTTAACCCCGTTTCGAACCCGCTATCGTCCCATCAAAATGATACGCCGTGCGAGTAAATCAAGTTCAAGTAAAAACGCGCAGTAAAAGGAAGGGGGAAACTGCCGTTTCCAATCCAATAACCACCTCCTTTCCGCATCAAGGGAAAAGAGTTTCCCAAAACTGAATAAGCCATGCTTGCTGCTGCTTTTCCGTTTGGATACTGTACATATGTTTTGCTTCGAGGTAGGACCGACGAGGCGCCTGACCTTATTACGCGCACTTAGCACGCCTTGTAACGTTGTTGTCGTCAGCGTCACTAGATAGAGTGGATCGCCGCCCGGTGGAAAATTGACGGATAGACGTCGCGATCGAACAGGGCTAGGTGTTCAGAGGTTGCGGGCGGCTATCAGTCTGTTGCTGTTGCCTAATGGTGGTCCGCTTGTCGCCGTCGCGGTTGTTCGCCTTTTCGCGACGCGACTCCTCAATGGCCGTGCGCTGCTGGATGCTCGAGTCGTGGCTCTTCCACTCGACCTTGGTCTCGGAGGGGAACGAAAGGGTCCGGCGCATGGTTTCACTGTGTAGCTAAAGTTAGTCGAAGATCACCAGAGTGACTATCCGGAACCAATGAGTGAAAACTTACCGAATCTTCAGGACCCGCTGGCCATTAGCCCGAGCCCAGATGCTGAGAATGTCCTCGCCGTTCCGAACGCTGAGGACAATGCCGCAGACATCGTCGTTGGCGTCGCCAAACTGATCACCGATCAGAGCTAGCAGAATGTCCTCCCAGTAGCGATCGGCCACACCCTTGCGCAGGCGCACAATCCACTTTCCTCCGTTCTTGTTCTCTTCGTCCTCCCATATTGGCCGAATTCCTTTCTTGAACAGGTGATAGTCGGATACCAGCGGCAGACCCGAGGGGCGCTTGAGGTGCTGATAGACAGCGAAGAACTGCTCAGCCGTCTCGCAGGTGGCGATAGGGTGCAGAGTCTTCTCATACTCGATGAAGCCGTTAGCCTTCGAGATGGGGGGCCGGTACCAGAAAACCCAGCTGTTGCGTAGCTGGTGATTTAGGCCCGAACTCGGGGAGTTGGAGACTGCGCCCTGAGCCCTCTTGTTGGCATCGGCAAGAGAGGCGCTGGAGGCAGTCTTTCCAACGGTCTTGCTGCTCAAGCCGCCCTCCTTGCTAGATTTCTCAGCAGAGGGTGTCTTTGCGGCATGACCGATAAGGGCAGTCTCGAACGGGTTGCCGCTAGACTTGGGGGTCTTGGCCGAACCGAACGAGGCGAATGCGCCAGATCCAAGGCCGAAAGCGCTCGAAGCGCCGGCCGTGGGCGACACCAGTCCGCCCGGGGTAGTTATAGAGTTGAAAGGGTTGGTCTTTCCGTGCGACGAGCTATCACCGCCGAATCGCTTGGAGAATGTGCGTGAAGACGAATTATCGACCTGGCCGCCGGACCCAGGTGTTGTCAATGAGAGCTTGCTCGAGCTATGAGAGTGAACAAAGGCATGTCAGTCAGCGGTTCGGGATGTGTTGAGTTGATTACCGTTTATGGCCATGTGTGATCGACCTCGTGGGTGGGGGAACGGGGGAGGGTGGAAGGTAAGGTAGAGGGGAAGAAGTATGCTGGGGTAAAAGGCAAAAACTCAACACTCACTTGGTACGGCGACTCCATAGGTTGGTATCCATGGAGAAGTCGGGAACCAAAAACTCGACGAACGAGAGAAAGGAAAGGAAAAGGGTATGTAGGAATACTCGTCACCGGAAGACTAATGCAACACAGTGAGCGGCGGCGCAAGCAATTCTTCAGATGCCGTACTGCAAGAAAAGCTAGCCTGTAATTATGCGGAAAGCCGGCGTATAGTGGGTGTTCGAGTCGTCGCGGGAGCGGGCACAGGGGCGGCAGCGGCGACGAGAAAGGATGACGGAGTTGGTGGTAATAGTAGCAGCGGTAGTGCAAATGATGTCAGGTAACTGAAGGATCTGGCAACAGCCCTGGGGCCGTAGAGGTGGTAGACGGGAATTCGTGATAGGGTGAAACCTTTGGACCTCGAAGGTGGCGGGCAATATTTTGCAGTGACGACGATTACTGCTGTGGTCAATCCGTCTCGTCCCTGTCTCAGTAGTATCTGGTGGTGAGGTCTAATAAGAGGGTAGGTATCGAGGNTTTTCTACGGTATGCATTCCCACAGTCGAACCAGGCGGGAGAGAGATGAGCATCATGTAGGGTTTTCGCTCCCAATCTGGATTTGTAGGTGGCTCCATTTTTGTGTAACACAGTCATTGCTTCTTCGAGGCGGCAAAAAGGAACAGTTTGGCTATAAAATAAAAATGCTATGAATCAGCTCAAAAGCCCTTGGGCAACTGTAGACGTCCCGCCATAAGCTAGTAGTGTGTAGAAAAGATATGCTTCAACAAAGAAATGTTTGATCCGTAAGGTATGCAATGTGGATAGATAACATCAGCAGTGTCCCACATCCTCGCGTTGGGATGTCATCCTGAAGGACGAAAAGTTCTCATGTCCAATAAACCTCCTTCCTCCCAACCCAGGGAGTGACAAAAAAAAATAAAAAATAAAGAAAAGTAAAAAAAGATTAAAGTAGCCGCAGAGCCTTTGTGGTTGAAGCGTGGTTAAAGCGACTCGTAAACCCTTTCAGCAGCAGAATTCCTTTCCACAACCGCCTTCAAAACCTTCAACCTCTCCTCGGTAACCCTGATGGCCTCCTGGACCTCACGTTCGTTCATCTTCTCCTCTCTCAGCTTTTCTTCCGCTGTCCTGTACTCTGCCTCGCCCTTTTTCCTGCCCTTAGCGGGCTTTCTGACACCCATTCCGCCTCTTTCGTCACTCTCACCAAGGCCGACTCCACCACCACCGTGCAACCTGTCTAGGCCTGCTCGGTCCTCGATCCAGTCCCAGAGATCGCTCTCTTCTCTCCTCCACATCTCCTCGTACGCTGCGACTCTTTGCGGGTAATTTGCGTATCCCATAAGGTCTCCACGGCCTGGGACTATGACTGCGCCGGAACGAGGACTGTTCATTCCAAGTCGGAACCATGTTGAGACAAGGAGTCCTACCAGCACACCGTAGAGAATATTCCCAGTAAGGACTGGACGCAGGATATCCACAATAGGACCCAAGAATGGATGAAGAGGTTCCAGTAGGCCCCAGTCCTGCTTCTTGGCCGGTGTGTGCTTGACGCTTTCTGCATCACTAGTCGGCACAGAGGCAGCCTTGCTCTTGCGGCCACGCTTCTTGCCTTTGCCCGGTGCCACGCCATTGGTTAGGGTAGTAGAGCGAGGACGAGATGAGACGGCAGCCTTGAGCGCCACGAAAAGGTCTTTGGCGTATTGGGCTTGGCCATCGTTGGCACCACGTTCAATTGCGCCTGTCGAGTGTTAGCAATGACCAAGTTTAGTTAGGAAGAGCAAAGAGAGTAAGACGTACCTTTAATCCAACTCTTGCCCGACCATTCGATCGTGCAGTTGATTTGGACTCTTGTTGCGTTGTTTTCGGCCCAAGAGAGACAGTACTTGGTCTTGACCACGAAGATGTTGCCATTTGGTACATCCGGATTCTGCGTCGAAACTGTAACGTTCACAGCCTTTTCGAAATCCAGACCATCAAGTTGTTCGGTAACCATGCATTTTGTCTGCTTAGGTCCGATGGAACCATTCAAGGGCTTGATATAGTTGTATGACCTTGTCTTTTGCTCGTCGTTGAGGCCAATCTTATCATCGATGTTGATGTCGAAGCACTTCTGGTCGTTAAGAAGAAACTTGGTCATCCAGGCTGACGATGGTGCGCCGAACAGGAGGTTGTGGACCTTACCCAGTGGCGCGGGAACGACATCGTCTCCTATAACTTTGTCGTAATGGGTGTCGGCGTCTCCGCACTCGGTTGGTGAATGGGTTTTAGGACCAGGGAAATCATCTGCGACGGCAGTTTGCGCTGTGTCGTCCTTGTTATCGGTGCTGCCGGCACCCACCATTCCTGACGGCTTCCGTGAAACAGCCTGTTCCCCGGAGGCATCTGCTGCACCAGCGTCTGACGCCTGTGTTCCATCCTGTTCATCTTCGTTGTCCTCATCCTCATCGTAAACGTCGTCCTCGCCATCACTATCGCTGTCGTCGTCGGATCTGGAATCGCTGCCACCTTCTGGTGCGGATACGACTTCGGTTTCGTCGATCTTTTCGGTCCTGTCCCCGCCAGTACCTTCCAGCCGGACCCCATTGAGCGAGCTCTGCAAGTGAGGATGACCCAGTTTCCAAATCTTGACAATCAGGTCGTAAGTGCTATCGCGGCTAGTAAACGAGGCAAAAACGTGTTTGGCATGAAGGGTGGAGATTTCCAAGCCGTTTTTGAAAACGAGGGCTGTCATTCTTTTTTCAACAGCAACGATCTCATCGAAGCTCATGACTAAGGTTGTAACCCAGCCGAAAATATTACTGCTGAAGCATAAGTGGCCTTCAGAAACGTATAGCCTACCGTGGGCAAGAATATCACGCTGAAGGGCACAGCTGTAGTCCTCAATCAGGTAATCGTCGTCCGGAACACTCTTGAAGAGGGTGTGGAAGTCCCGGTTGCGCTTCTTATTGGCAACCGCGAATCCGGTGAGCTTGGGGGCATTTGCGAGAGGCGCCGTGCCATTAGCTGCAGCAATTGCTGCAGCAACTGTGTTCCCGCTTGTCCCCGAGACGGCACTGGTAGCACGTTTCCTTCGCCTGCTAATAGCGCTCCGAATGCTACCGCTGCGATGAACTCCCGATCCTGTCTTGCCTTCGTACATGCTCCCGTTCGGTGTTGTGCGTTCCCCGGTGGCGGGCGGTTCATAGAGCGACCGGGTCCGGTAGAAATTCGCGTCTTCAGGCAGCGTAAGCTCGGCATTGGCATTGGCATCGACAGGAGCGGACTCGGATCTGGCTCGAGCTTCGTGTTCGGTGACTTTGATAGTTGCCGGAGCGGGGGCTGTCGGTGGCGGGTCAACTATGCCGAGCTGGCTGAGACTGAGGTCGCCATTCCCAAGCGTCCTGACCGCAGGCTCCTTAGACCCCATATCTGCGCCGGGAAAGGCTTCGGTAGCTGATTCGACTTCGACGTTATTCACGTCGTTGTTACTGCCTCCTTGTTGACTTGTGAAACTCGACACGGATCTGCTCTTGCCGTTCCCGGGAGCCAAGTTTGCGCTTGAGATTGTGCTGCTTAATGTGTTTGCTGTGTTCTGAACAGCCGAGAACATGGAAGAAAAGAAGTTGGCGGTTGGATTGTTCGGATTCTCGGGAGTTGGCGTTAGGGGAGCAGAGGTAATGTTGGACAGTTTGCTCGGACCATGACTGCCGGAACCGGCCCTGCTTCTTCCTCGTGGCGAACTCATGTTCCCTATCAGCGCATGCGGGTTTCTGCGCGGGCTCGGTGGAGCTGTAGCTACTGGGCTGTTCTTCGCTGATAGATCAGGCGCACTATGATCAGTCGGCGTAGGAGGGGTATTAACGATAACCGGGGCTGCTGAATCGGTAGTCGACCTTGGAGGCGTTTGCGGAGGGACAAGAGGCTCGAGTTTTTGGCTTTGTGAGAGTCGGTGGAGTCGGTCGGTTGCCTTGTTGAGGGTATCCGTTACAAGTCCAGTGGTATTTTGCGAAGCCCTCGGGGTGGTGTCTGCGGCCGTATCGGTAACAGTGATGTTGGGGAACAGCTCTGTGCTGCCTCCTCTCGATCGCAAGATGTCCTTTACCCGGCTAACGGATGGGACCTGTTGGGGCAGTGCGTCGTTGGTTGGTTCAATTGTTGTGTCAGCGCGCTTGGCAGAGTATGCGGACTCGAGACTGTCGGTGCTAGCTGCAGGCCTGGTCGAGGAGCGAATCGACAGGTCGGAGAGGTTCGAAGAATCGGAAGTTTGGACTTCTGGAAGATGTTGAGCCTGCACGAGCGGTGACGACGTTGTCAAATGTCCAATCTGGGAAGGATGGGTCGAGATTGGGGTGGGGCGGACTGTCGCGCTGGCACTGAAATAGAAAGAAACCGGACTGTCAGTTTCGGGAAGAGATTGGGGCCAGCCAAAGATGATGACGATATACAAAGAAACCTGGAAAGTGAGGGATGGGATGGGGGATAAAACAAAAGGAAGAAGGAATGTTGGGCCGAGGAATAATGTCGAGGACAGGAAGAGGGTTTGTGAGAGAGACTGTTATTGTACGCTCTTCGTCTGAATGGCAGCACGAGGGAGGCGCAGAGCCATGATGCAGATGACCTGAGTTAGGTAGTGGGAAGAGACCGACGGTTCCCAATGTCTTTATGGTGGAGACGTCTAATGTTGCTCCATTACGGCTCCAGTGATCCTGGAATCTTGGATCCCCTGTCGTCGCCTAAAGACTCTCCATTTCGCTCAGACTTTAGCGCCTAGAGAGCCACTGGACTGGGAACGCTTTTGGAGTTTTGGGGAACCGGTAGCAGGAACATCCACTTCCACTTACGATTCAGGGTCCGGTGTCGAGCGGGACTCGTATGGCACCGGCGTGTAGAGCGGTTGGGAGTCGGGGTACTCTAGATTGGTGTTGTTATCTTCAAAACTAGTAGCCGACCTCGATCTCGACCTCGACCCCGACCTGGATGATCTGTTGTAGTTGGATCTCTCGTCGGACTCGGCGGCCGTCGAGGTGGCTTGGCTGACGAGAGAGCTTGGTCTTTGTGTCTGCGCCTGCGACTGCGTGGACCTTGTGGAGGAGGACTGCAGCCGGAATCCGGGGACGGGTACTGGAACTGGGACTGGGCCTGGGACTGCATCGTCCGTCGTCCCAATGGAACCAGTGCTGCTACGGCCCTCTGATTCTGCCAATGATGCCCGTCTTCTGCGGCGGTCACGGTGCTTGGCCGCTATCGCCTTGGGCACAGAGGTAAGCTTGTGAAAGCCGGTGGGTGCGTTATCCATACTGCCGTGTCGGGTTTCAGACAGACAGACTGTTGTTTGCGCCGCGATGCTATCAAAGAAAGTGAAAGCAAAAAAGGTCCCGTCGCAGGGTCGTTGGTCGTTTGTTGAAAAGGGCAGGGTGTGTTTATTCCAATCTGTTTTGGTTGTTGTAGAACTTGGATAAGGTAGGTAAACTTTCAAGGGCTACCACGGTGAGTCTGTTAGTGAGTGATACGTACATGGAAGCTTCGAATGGCTCCTTTGAAACCATGGCGCGCTATGACATCGTCATTCATCCAGGGCGCAGCGAACCTTGATGGCAACCCTGAACCACTCAGCGAATCCGAATCCAGAAGCAAAACCAACCTCAGTCTTCATATAAACAATCTTCAGGGGCGATTGATCGTGGCTTTCTGTAGGTAGTATTCGCTTCCGCTTGTGTACTCTGTCATCGATGTATTTTGGAAAACCGAGGCTTTGTCGTCTACGTAGCGCATAAACTCACACAAACGGAAGTGCTGTCTTGGGTTGTACAGACTGACAGATGGAAAGAACCCATGTGAGACTGCCTTGAAAATTCCCTTTGTATGTTCCCCTATCTTGTTCGAGCTTGTTTCCCTGTGACGGAAGGCCCCTCTCGACGACACCGTGTACAACGTCTTGTGCAAGGTAATCATGGCAACGGCGAGAGACCACCATTTAGTTGTAACAATAATACCATTCCATTTCTCTCCTCAATTTGCGATATCCGAATGTCCACAAGAGATCTGCAACCGCCCTGTTGGATCCATGCAGGACAGCCTCATACAGCAGCCGCCCTGCTGTAGAGGTACCTGCTGCTGTACCTGTACCTGTACCTACGTGTACCCCAAATTTACTGATAAGATAAGGCGAACCCCTCGTGGCCCGTCAAGCTGAGGTCAACTCCACCTCCCTCCACGCGGCTTGTCCTAACTGTTCTTCTTGACATCGACTCTCTGCCTCTAAAGCTTTGATGACTTCCAATGGCTTCTATATATTCGTTCTTCTTCGACAACTTGATCACCACCTAACCCCTCCCCCTGTCTCCTTCTCTCCCTTTTTGGTTCCCGTCCATATACAACAAGAGGGCAAACACGAAATACTCGCTCGATTACCCTCTTCCGCCCACCTCAACTCCGATCTCGCCTTTAGAACCTACACTTTGAGCTGAAGAAACATGGGTTGTTTCTGACGACATACCAAGGCGAAAGCGCAGCGTCTCCCAACGGACTTCCTCCCCTGCTTCGATGCTGTGCAGTCGTAGCTATACGCGGATACAGAACCGCCAACAGATCCCAGATGAATGCCACAGGTCCATCCACAGAAACCGCGGACTTCATCAACAGTTTAATAATAACAAGGCTCGACAGTTTCAGCATCCTTGACGAAGATCCTACATGTGCGCGCTCCTGGATCCCACGATATTGGAAGAGCTACGCGATACCAAGTCCACAAAGGAGTCGTGGTTCCCATTCATAGGTGCTGGTTCCGACACACGTTTCCAACAATTGGCGGTTAACTACCGCCCGGCTAGCTCAATCGGTAGAGCGTGAGACTCTTAATCTCAAGGTTGTGGGTTCGACCCCCACGTCGGGCTCAATTCCCGATGTTCCTGGTTCACCAGGACAATATTTTCTTTTTCCCTTTTGCGGGAAACGGCTTCTCTCTTTTTGTGTTGTTTTGTTCTCTGCAAATTTCCATCATGTGAAGGGATGTTTCATGTCCCTAGCGTCACTTTGTTTTGATATCTCGGTTTTTCGAGTGTCATGCGGAACAGGGAATACGCGGAATTTGCGGTTACCGTAGCCCATGGGTTAAATGAAGACTTTCCCAGCGTAATGTCATCTTTAATTCGAGCTCGCCAACAGTCCAACAATATTGTAAATCTTCAGCTGTACAATAATTTTCCCCGGAAAAACTCCCGCTTCTCCTTGTCGGCGCCTGAGATGAAGTTTGAGTCGGTCATGGTCCTCGCAATGGCTTCCTTACCATCGCTGGTTTCAGCTGTTATTCATTGGTGGCCATGGTCGGTGTTAGTGATTGGCTCGTCGATTAGATAAGGCAAGCCCTCCTGTCTTACAGCCAACGGATGTCACAAGCACGACGCATCTCTCCGACTTTCGCAACACCCCGCCATCAACCTGCACTTTACATCACAATTCATCTTCTTCCCTTGAATCGAGACCAACGAAATCATTCCACCTTTGCTGTCATCGCGCGCAAGACCAGTGAGGAATTCGTGGTGATGAATCTCAAGCGCGCACAAGCATGGATCTGTCTCCCTTAGTAAAGGTATGCCATTGGATTCTCGGCATGTTCTAATTGCCCGCCTTCTCCATTGCTTTGCTCCTCTCCCTACGCGATCGCATCTGGCTAGGACAAGATAACCGAGATGGAAGTCCATGTCGGATGGGATGAGCTTAAATCTCGCTAATAATAACACACATCTAGGCCCACGACCATGCGAAAGCCGCGTCAGTTGCGACCCAGACCGCTGACACCACGGTTGCCATCAACCACCATGCTCAGGCCGCCGGCGAATTTGCGAACGCTGCAAAGAGCACTACTAGCACCGAGGCACTGCGGACGCTGGCCCTCCTAGAGCAGCATCACAAGCGCTTGGCTGAATTGCTCAAGGTCCCCATCGAGCCGACAAGTCAACCGTCGAGTATTGACAGTGACATTCCAGAAGAGGATGAGGAAAAGGGATCAACCAGTCAGGATGACGGGACAAAGTCAGCCAAACCAGACAGCCACAGGGCTGGACCGCCTTCGGTCGCTACGCCACCTAGCGCAGCTAAACCACTGCCCACTCATTCACCACATCCCAGATACCGCCAGCGTGACCTTTCCTCGTCCATCGCCAGCAAGCTTGCGTCAGCAAGAGGGATAAGATCGAAATATCAAGGACAGAGCCAACCGTTAAACCCAAGCGTGTCCAATGATCAGGCACCCGGCAACTTGGAAGTACATCCTCGAAACAGAGAGGGTTCATTGAAGGGCGGAAACAAGGGACACGAAACATCTGATAAGGCACAAAAGCAGCAGCCGAGCTGGGTTCCTCCAGGAAAATCATCACCCACCAAGGAAGATGCGGCCAGTTCCTCTTCGAAACCTCAAACATCTGGTCCTGGTTCACCTACAGCTAGTGATGACGGGTTTACAAGATTCTACAGCACGTTCGGAAGCCTAATCAACCGACTTTCCGCGCCTCTAGCCTTCGCCGGTCTCCCTCTGACTGCCGAAGACTCCTCGGACACTGTCAGCCCAGTGCTCTCCCCGGAGATTGCGCCGCGCTCCGGATCAAAACCGCCTCGTCAGCCCAAAGGAACAACTGTCTCCGTGTCTACGGACCCTGATCTCACCAAGATCTACTCTCGCGCCACTCTACGCACCCTCGCTCGCGATGGCCACGCACCTGCCGACTCCTTCTACGTGGTCCCAACCAGCGGTCACACGGCCTCCTACGCCAGCATCCTCAACCACGAACAAAAGGAAAAGCGACGCCTAGCCGCGTCGATTCACGGCAATGGTACCCCGTTGGACGACCAGGAAGACGACGAGGACGACTTCGTCGATGCCAGGGAGTCGCAGATCCAGTCCCCATCCGCGACCCCATCCTCGTCTTCAGCTGCCGCGAACCCCTCGGCTTTCCGCAAGCGGCTAGGGAGGACAAAGACAGAAAAGGATCTGACCAACGTGATCGAGGAGCTGCACATGGAGAACCAGACCCTGAAGGACGCGCTCGATAAAGTGAGCAGGAGGCTGCACACGTTCGAGGTTCATTCGCAAACTTCAACATTGGCATTGGCGCAGAGTATTAGATTGCAGCATCCTGGCACTGGCGGGCCCGGGCACGGGTCGCCTATCATGCCAGTGGCTTTATGGGTGCAGCCGCTCAGGGTGGTGGTGCTCATCCTGAAGAGATAGCGGCGCTAAAGAGGAAGAACAGAGAGTTGGAAGAGCAGATGATGAACATGACGAGGCAGATGGCGGCTATGGAAAAGGATTATGATAAGCTGCAGAAGACGGTGGAGAAGTATAGAGAGCGGTGGGAGCAGTTGAAGGCGGGAGCGAAGGCCAGGAGAGAGGCTCAACAGAGCAGCTTGAGCGGTGGGCAGGGGAGTGGTGGGAATCAGGGAGAAGGTGGGGAAATTCCGTGAGGGCATAAAGAAATGATCGTCGAGTATATATATAGGGCGTGATCCTTCAGAGGAACACGTAGCGGAATAGATGTTGGATAAATTCTACCTGAGCTTGGTTTCGCAATTGCCCAAGTGTGCAGCGTAGGTATCTAGTCTAACCGCCGCCTGGTCGATGGGTAACCAATTGTCCGTCACATCATATCCAACAAGTGTTATTGATTCTTATCCGATCTGAACCATCCCATGATGCGCAGACATATAAATATGACCCTTCCCCTCAACCTCGACTTCGAGTCTTTGGCTCTCCTGAGGGAGTCCTCCAAACTCCGAGCCCGTCTTCTTTCTAGTCTCCACCCGGTCCCGACAGCCTGACCACCCACCGACAGCCGGGCATGCTCCACTCTGATCCCCGGTCTTCCCGCCTTCCAATGCCTCCCCGGCACCCCCGGTCCTCGTTGTCTCCGACCCCGACCCCACCGTCTACTTCCGCCGGCCGGGAATACCCTGCACGAGGCTGCATAAAAACCCACAAGTTCATTCCGGGGTCGTATGACATCACAGTCCCAGCGCATAACGAGATGGACAGATTGCGTTATGTACCATAGTCAGCTGAGTGAAGATGAGTCGGTCGGTTTGGGAGGACGGAGGTGAACGACGGGAAGAAATCATCAAGGGCCTGAGGCTGGGAGGAGGTGGGCGCTGGCAGAGAGTGGGAGAGCGCCGATGTGCTTCAGTGTATGTAGGTGCCCCCTTTTGATCGCCCTAGTGTGGTACGTAGTCGCAATGGCGGTGAGGTGTGGATATGACGATAGTAAACAGGCCTTGTGATATGACAGGAATAGGTACCTAGGCATGATGCTGTGAGATATCAATTGTTGCGATTTCATTCGTCTTGGTGAAAACACAAACTTTTGGTATATGGTTTTCCGCTGTTCTATCTACTGGTAGGTGACTGTAGACATCTCCTGTTGATATTTGGCCCTTTGCATCTGTCCATCTCCCCAAAGCAGTTGACTTCGATGAGTTGAACATCGTTTGCTGCTCTTCCTTCCCTTCCCTTCCCTTCAAAGTCTGCTCTCTTCCTCTCCTTCTCCCTCCCCCCCTAACTCCAATGCTCTGCCTTCCTCCATCTTTACCAAGCAGTGATATCCTCCACCTCTGCCTCTCCAAAAGTACTACTCTTGGTAACCTGCCCCACGCTGCTCTCCACCTCCGCCCCTCCTTGTAGCCCATCCTTATTCATGATATCCGGCAACACCTCCCTCAGGAAGTTCAGAATGTACCGATTAACCTGCTCAAACTGGAGCAAAAAGGCGTCATGGCCCTCGGGGCTATCGATCCTTTCCAGACGGCAATCGGGGATATGCTGGGCCAGTTCCTCCTGCTCGGCGAACGTGAAAAGTCCGTCGCTCTCGATGCCGAGCACCAAAGTGGGTTGCTGGATCAAAGCCAGCGCCTCCGCGATGGACGCCGCCCTCCCGCGGGAAACGTCGTGCGTGTCCAGCTTGCGCGTCATGGCGATGTAGCAGTTACTGTCGAAACGCTTGACGAACTTGGAGCCTTGGTAGCGCAGGTAGGACTGCGCCGAGAAGTAGGTCGATTGCGGAGGCATGACGTCGCCGCCTGTGAGGCTGCCGCCGGTGGTCTTTTGGGGACCGTGGAACTGGGGGTCGGATTGGGCTTCTGCTTCTTGGGTAGCATTGTTGGTGGTGACGGCGGCGGCGATGGTGGTGGCGGTGGCATCGATGGGTCTGGCAAGGCCGGTGCTGTCGTTGCTGTTGGAGCGAGACAAGCTAGTGCGCTTCACCTTGTGTCCGTCGTTGTGGATGTGGAAGTGCGCCTCCGAGGGGGTTGACGGGGTGGGCCGCCCTCCCGGATGATCTGACGGCGGGACGGATCGGGGGTGTTCCGGCCGAAGCGGGCCTCGAACGAGTTCCGGCTCCGGTAGGTCAGGAGAGCGGACATGCGGGCGGCTCCGAGACCGGTGGAGGGTGAGTCCTCAAAGGAGTAGTAGCCGTCGTCATACTTGGGGTCGGCGTAGATGGACTGGCGTTGAGCCTCACCCCAGCTGATGCCCCAAGCGCTGTGCCTGCTTGACGTGGCGATGGGAACGACGCATCGCACGTAGTCCTTGCCGAAGTAGGCCCATTCGAGAACAAACATGCCGCCAAGAGAACCGCCGATAACGGCCGCCACTTGCTTCACGCCCAAGTCGTCAAGCAGCAGCTTGTGCAACCTGACATCGTCCCGGATGGTGGTCAGGGGAAACTCGGGACCGTAACGGCCTTTGCTCGGATCGCCGTCTTTGGCGGTTACGGGACTGGCGGTGCCATAAGGGCTTCCCAAGCTGTTGAAACAGACGATGAAGAAGCGAGAGACATCAAAGGCCCGACCAGGTCCTCCCAGGAGGGGACCCCACCAGTCACTCACATCGGCACTGCCGGTCAAGGCGTGGCAGATGACCATGGCATTGTCACCGTTGGCATTGAGAGTGCCCCTGGTGGTGTAGGCCACGGGAACGTTGTGAAGCGTGACACCCGACTCTAGGGTGAAGGAGGGAATCACGGCAATCTGCTGGTCTGGGATGAGAGCCGCGAACGGATTCTCCGGTTGGGATTGGATTCTTTCTTGGAAGTATTCAGCCACCATTCTTTGACAAGTCAAGGGCAGACAGGGGAAGAGGTGAGGCGAGTAAACTGACCATATTTGGGCTGGGTCTGGCCGTTGGCGACAGCACTGGTGCCGGTCATGATGAAGAGTGAGAGGTGAGTCTAGACTCTGGCGTAGTTGTAGTGGATGGGGCTCTTAAACTCCAATGTTTGTCTCCTGCGTGGTTGCGTCACTCGTTGGATCCCGGAGATTGTAAGTGTTAGTTCAAGTCTTGGCCTTTGGTTAGTGACTTGAAGAAACAAAGACGGAAATGGGAAAAGATCAAAAGACTAGAGTTGTTGTGTAGGCGAACGAGTGAGAAAGATCAAAAGTCGATCTCAAGCATTTAAGGAGAGGCTGAGGTTCTCAGGCTGGAGACTGAGGCTAGAGACGTATGACTCCAATATCAAGACACTAATTACCGGTCTAGAAGGGAACGGGGGGGAACAACTAGGAAAGAACTGGCAAAAAATGCTGCAAGCGTGGATGGCGCAATCGCTAGACTGGCACCGGCCGTGGGGGACTTGTGGGATCTCCGTCAAAAAGATGACTCTTGAATGGACAATCGGGATAATGAAAAAAAAGGGTACAAGGCCCAGGTACCGGAGTCTTCAGCAGTTGGTCGTCAGCACAAATAAAAGGGAATCACTACGCCGGTAATCGGCCATCTGGAGTGGGGCTAAAGGGGTGGCTGGCTCGTGCGTTCTCCGGCATCCCCCTCGTCCTGGAAGCGGAGGAGCCCCACGCGGTCCACGATGCTACGCTCCAACACTTGGAGGTAAGGTACCTTTACAGTGCACTCCTCAGCGCTTCAGGGCCTTTCTCCCACTGTACCAAGTTCGTCACAAATGCAGCCTCATCTGCAAGGCTGAGCCTTTCGATTTTCTGCCACAGCTCTTATCTCGTCTCCACTTATTTTATCTACTGTGCCGGGATTGGGAAACAGCGGACAGCAACGCAGCACAAGAGCAAACCCGCCCAGTGCAAAGTGCCACAAGCAGAGAGCTTGCGGTTTGACGCGCTACTGGCAGCAAACCACAACCGACGCCGCAACTGCAACTGCGAACTGCAGCTTCCAGTTCATTCAGCATTTCTCGTCACGGTGGGACGAATCAGTTTGAATTTAGTTCCTCCACGTTCTCCAACCAAAAAGACCAACCACGGTCACCAAACGAGGTACGGTCACCAACGACGACGGATACACCACGTCGCCTTTTTCTTTGTCCGCCATCCTGTTCGGCACCGCACCCCCAAAAACCGAACAACTAACGGACTCTTCATCGTCGCTCATTCATACAACTTTTTGGTGGTAATTGCGCCCTTCCATTCGATTGCGCGCCTCGTGGCTGGTGTCACGGTCTTTGTCTTTGTCTTTACATCACCTCAGAGTCAAACCAGAAACAGTTCGCCCACCTTGGCCTTCCTCAACCTGTGCACTTCCTCGCTGGCCGAACTCTTGACCTTGAAAGCGCTTACACCGTCCTCGATCCGTCTACCATCGTCGGTCCTTCGAATCACTCTTTTGCCGGACATCTTCTTACTCTAACACTTTTTCGTTGCATCTTAGTCAAAGAATCCCAAAGTGAAGTCAAAGTCAACTTGGCCTCACTTCCAAACAAAACGAACAGCAACGACAACAAAGACATACTACCCTCATCTCGACCGACCACAAGGGTGATCAACGAGCGAGCAAAGAGCGGACAAGAGCGCCGCCAACGACAATAGATGACGCCACAGCCGTCACTGTACTGCCGCCGATAGAGAGAGCAGCACCATGCCTCCCAAGCGCAAAAGATCCGATCATCGGGGCCCGCCCGACTCTGGCCCCTCCAGACCGGCTCCCCATCGACCCGATAATGCGTCACTGGGACAGCATGACAGAGGCTATGATGGAGGACGCGGCGGTGGCCGTAATGGGAGAAACACCAGGAGACCCGATCGTCGCGACTCGAATCAGCCTTACATCAGCAACAACAACAACAACAACCCCAATCCACCCATACCGTCGTCTGCTTCCCGCCCTCCGAGTTCTTCAGCAAACAATCTCCTCCCGATAAACACTGCACCACAAACACCAGCCCCGATTCAGACCGCGGCCGCGCCGACACCAGCTTTGCCACCTCAGCCTACATACTCGGCGCCTTCTTCACCCATTCAACCCGGCTACGACTACAGCATCATCACCGATGACCGCGTCTCCAGGTGGTCCAAGGGCGCGCGTCAAGAGGTTATCGATCATGGTATTCAGTCACGCGACGACGAAGACCTCACCGAGGTTGCCGCCATATTCCAGGAGCTGATTCACTCTGCTGTCGACGGTCGTCTTCCTGGTTCCGATGCTGGCAAGGTTATCAAGGACATATTGGGCCCCGAGCCTTCGGAGTCTGATCGTGCCAATCTGGTTTTTGACGCCCATACCCTGTTTCTCGATACTGTAGCGACCTTTATGGACGTGGAAAATGCGCCTTTCCGGCCCCAGCTCCGCGATCTCATGTACGCCACAGAGGTGTCGACTACCCTCATGCGGCAAGTCCTTGACGCTGCAGTTCTTCAGCCGCTGGGCCTCGTCCGCGATACGTTCGTGCGTGTAGGAATCCGGCAGTCGACGAACTTGCTCTATCGGCAGGCCAACTACAATCTCCTGCGAGAAGAGACAGAGGGCTACTCTAAACTGGTTACCGAACTTTTTACCACCAGCAGTGCGGAACCACCATCCTCCGAGGTCGTACAGGCTGCGTTCAACAAGGTTATGGGCCTTATTGGAACGTTCGACTTGCACCCAGGCCGCGTTCTCGACGTCACGCTGGACGTGTTTGCCTCGGTACTCATTAAACAGTTCAGGTTCTTTATTAAATTCCTGCGCGTGAGTTCCTGGTGGCCTCGTAGCCAGATCAAACTCCCGCCTGGGACGTTTGTTGGAGGTTTGCCTATATGGGCCCTCCCCGACCACTTCAACTGGGTTGCGAGCGAAGAGGAGGAGAAGGAACTTGCAACCCAACGCCTAAAACGCGACATTGCATTTTGGGATAGAGCACGGAAGATCAAACTTGATGCATTCTTCGAGCTCGGCGGCAGACAGATTACCAATGTAGACGATGAGAATCTTCCGGATGCCAGCACAGAGAGCGGACAGGAGAGCAGTATCGAAAAAGAATGGATCAAAATCACCAAAACCCTACCACCGACCGGTAACCGCGATGCGGCCCAGATGCTGGGCTTCAAGTTGCGTTTCTATACGACAGAAGCTAGGGATCCCGAAGATATGCTCCCGGCAAACCTTCTCTATCTCCTAGCCCTGCTTATCAAGGTTGGGTTCATCACGCTAACAGATCTCTGGGAGCATATCTGGCCGCCGGATGACCAAATGGAGGCTGTCAAGGAAGCCAGGTTTAAGGAGCTGGAAGAGAAGGAGAGGGCAAACCGACCGGGAGGTGCCTCTAATGCATTGATGATGGCTGGAGCCCTTCCAGATGACATGGCGCCTCCTCCGATGAACAGTCGCCGCGGCATGGACCACGGGAAAGCTGATGCTGATACCAAAGCCACAGCCGAGGCTGCCGAAGAAAAGCCCAAGCTTCCTGAGCCTGATGACCAAAAGGTTATCCTCCTTAAGTGTCTCCTCACGATTGGTGCTATCCCGGAATCTCTGTTTATCATTGGACGACATGATTGGATTCTTCAGGCGCATCCCGACCTTGTTCCTCTTGTACACCGCATCCTTCACCATTCTGTCGAAACCGTGTACCAACAAAGCCGCCCACAACCGAAATCTTCGTCGTCTGCCAATTGTCCTGGCAAGAAGCTTCCGGATATGGACCAATCTGGCGTTCCTAAAGGCAGTATTAGGCTCGCCGCTGTCACTCCTAAACGCGCCCTGAGATGGCCGTTCCCAGATGCTGAGACCAGTGAAGGAGGTGGGTATCGCTTCTATTGGGACGAGTGGGCGGACAATGTTCCCGTCTGCCAAACTGTCGACGACATCTTCACGCTCTGCGATACCTTTGTGAACGTTATTGGCGTGCAAATTGGTCAGGATGCTGGCCTGATTGCGAAGCTCACAAGCATCGGTGCCAAGAACATGGCTGACGATCCGTCGCCGGCCAACCGTGCCCGTTGGTTGGCATTACTCAAACGCCTCCTCGTGCCTTCCTTGAGTCTGCTGGAAACCAACTCCTCAGTTGTCGATGGTGTATGGACCCTTCTCAAGCAGTTCCCTATTCATGTTCGATACAACGTCTACGCCGAATGGTACGAGGGTCAGACTTCCCGACTTGAACCCATGAAGAAGGCGTTCGCACGAACCCGCCTAGAGACGCTCAGTACCATGAAGCGTTTGTCTTTGACGAACATCCCACAGATGGCCAAGACCCTTGCCAAAACCGCTTATCCATCTCCCGGTATCGTTTGCAAAGTCGCGCTGCAGCAAATCGAGTCTTACAGCAACTTAATCGAGGCCTTCGTGGAGTGCGCCAAATATTTCACAGATCTTGGTTACGATGTTCTCGTCTGGTCTGTCCTCAGCTCTCTTGGTGGGCAGCAGAGAAGTCGGACACAAGAAAGCTCGGTGCTGCTTACCAGCAAGTGGCTCCAGGCTTTGTCCAGATTCTCCGGCAAGGTCTTCCTCCGCTATTCTAGGATGGACCCCACACCTATCCTTCGTTATGTGGATAACCAGCTTTCCAAGGGCAACTCCACTGACCTCGTCATCCTCAAGGAGTTGATTTCTTCCATGGGAGGTGTGGTTTCGGATCTGGATTTCACCGATGCACAGCTTCATGCCATGACCGGTGGTGAGCTCCTAAGACGGGAAACTCTTACTAACCTAGGCGATAAGCGTTATGTATCAACCAAGAGTGCCGACCGACTGATTCAGGCGCTCATGACCAACGGGCTTGCTGGCCGCCTCCTCGCCAACATCGCTCAGTACCGCCAAAGCGCCATCTCTGCGGTCGTTCAGGGCGATGCTCACATCAAGTACCTAGCCACCATGGCAGACGATACCCATCAGGTGCTCTTGCAGTATCTGGATCTTCTCCGCAGTAGTCTTGATGGAGAGACCTTCAACAACCTTGTGCCCAGTGTCATTCGGCTCATGCGTGACTACGGTCTTGGGGCAGGTCTTGCCTTCTTGATCGGACGGGCCAGTATTCGCACGGCTATGAACCGAGTGCGAGGTCAGTCAGAGAGTCAGGCGCCGGCTGCCTCAGCTGCTCCTGATACGGACGGAGATGTGGCCATGACTACAGCAAATGACGATGATGCTGCCAACACACCTGCCACCGAAGCCCAAACCACGATTCCGGCAAATGAGCGGAAAGTGGACCCCGTTTTGGAGCCTTTCCAACCTGTTATTGACGAGATTCCCACTATCTTGTCGGAGGACACCCTTCGATACATCACGCCTACCTGCTACGTCCTCTTCTGGGCCTTGCAGCTGGGTGACCTTTCATTCCCCCAGGATAACTACAGCGACGAAGTTAGTAGACTCAAGAAGCTTGCTAGGGAGGTAATGAACGACAGGTCGGACATGACAAGGATGGGAATGAACAAGAAGACCCAAAAACAAGCGGAAATCAACGCTCGGGTATCATCCCTCCTCAAGGAGAACAGCGAAGAGCTCCAACGATACTCGAAATTCCGCTTCCAGTTGAGCAGACAGCTCACTACTTGGTTCCCGGCTGATATCAAGAAAGTCGATGCCACAGCAGATACCATGCTTGAGGAATGCATTCTTCCCCGGTTGCAGCTTTCTGGCTTGGATGCCGAGTACAGCTTCAAGTTCCTCAAGTTCCTTCACGAGTTCTCCGCACCAAACTTCAAGCTCATGTCCCTCTACGACCGACTCTTCCGACACAACAGGCTCCGCAGTATGCTCTTCACCTGCACTGTACGTGAAGCGGAGCACATTGGTCGTTTTTTGAAGTGCATTCTCAGCGAGCTCTCAAAGTGGCACGGTGACAAGAATGCTTACGAGAAGGAAGCATTAGGCTCGAAGGAGGTGCAAGGCAAGAAGACAAGAAACTACGTTGGTTTCGCTACTGCCTTTGACGCGGACGGGAAGCCCACGGAATTCGTTGAACACGATGGGTTCCGTGACCTTCTCTTCAAGTGGCACAAGGAGCTCAATTCGGCATTGAGGGCATGCCTCAATGACATGGAGTGGATGCATATCAGGAATGCGATCACAGTATTGAAGGCTGTCATCGACTTCTTCCCGGCGATCAACTTTATGGGCGACAAGTTCTTGGAGCAACTTAAGACCATCACCGAGCGAGAGGCTGCCTCCAAGAACGCTCCCGAGACCGAGGAAGGCCATCGTGTCGATCTCTCGGTTACAGCACAGACGGCGTTCTCTGAACTACAAAAGAGGAAGTCCAAATGGGTCCTGGTTCAGGCATTCCGCCCTGGTACAGTAAGTGCATCTGCTCATGCTCCGAAGTGTACAAATGCTAACCGGGCACAGGCAACCGATTCGAAGGAGGAGGGAAAGCCCTCTCTTCGCGCTGCAGCAGTAACCCTCAAGCCCAGTTCCCACGGACGGAAACAAACCGCCGGCGAGGTTGAAGATGGTGAAGTCAAGGATAACCGAAGTGGAAGATCTGGCGCCGCCTCCGGAAGCCAAAAGGACTCGCTTCGACAAGAAACCTCCCTACTAGGGAACCACTGAAGGATGCTAACCCCCCACAAAGGTCAATGGGAGGTAATGGACCGCCTCCTCGGCCTCCAGCACCTAACGCAGGTCCTCTACCAACCAAACTTCCTGGAAACCGCAGTGATGCCAACAGAACATCGACACTAACCTCGGGCGGCCGTGGCCTGCCCAGCAATCCTGATCTGCCTAGGAGACCAGATGTGCCAATTCCGGAGGTTTTCAGCGCCAGCCACTTTAACCGAGCGCAGCACAATATGAACAACAGAAGAGAGCCCGCTTCATCTAGGGACGGTCGTGATACCCGAGAGCCGCGTGAGACTCGGGAGCCTCGCGAGGCACATCCTCGTGAACCGAGGGAGCCCGTGCATGGTCGGGATAGCAGAGACTACCGAGCGCCGGAAACGTCACGCCCTGAACGGCCGCGCGACTTCCCATCAACCGAGAGGCGTCCTGTGGAACCGCCTACAAGGGATTCATCTCGCCCATCCGATAGGGAGTGGCCAGCCCGTGCCGAACCGCCACCCCGTTGGACCGAGCCTACAGCTGCCTCTGGACGTGATGGCCGACAGCCACGAGACAGGACGCCCCATGGTACTAACCGGCACGATGGAAGACTGTCTAGGGAAAATGCCAATGCGGCATCCTCAGTAGCTGCGCCATCTCATAATGACGCTCCAGAGCCGCTTATCAACCCGGAGCGTGCGCGACTCCTAGCAGAAGCCGAGCAGAAGCAGTCACATCCCACCCCGCCGAGAGCTGCCGAGCCGCAGCATCCTCACATCAACCCAGCGAGAGCTGCTCTTATCACTGACGTTCGTGAGCCACAAGGCCGTTCCTCGTCCAGGGATCAAACCCGCGAACGGCCTCCCCGCACTGAATCTCCCAGGGCATCTGAAAGGTCGGCAACCAGTCAGGCCGATAGCGCTCGAGACGAACGTCCGGGTCGCCATCGACAACACTCGGATTACCACAGCACCAGAGGTGACAGTCATGCTCACGGAGACAGCGGGTCATCACACGGACGCTTGGATCGCCCCGCTGAAATTGAAAGACCAGGAGGATCTAGAGATGGTTCTTTCAATCAGCCTCCTCGTGGCACGGACCATGACCATGGCAGACCGGTCCAACAAGATCCCAACTACGGTAGGCTGAATCCTATCCAGTCAGTCGTCGACAGCGTGCCGGCACCAGTACCGGTAGCAACTTCGGGGTCCGGCGGTCCACCGCCATCGGGCCCGCGGGGTCGTGGCAGGAACAACGCTAGGATGGGTCCTGCTAACGGAGTCCCAATCCGTCCTGACGGCCGATTCCCGGGCATGGAAGCTAACCGCACATCATCCCCCGATCGTCAACCTCCGACTGGTCCTTCGTCTTCACGACAGTCGCGGAGAGGTCAGTATGATAATGCAGGCGGCAATGTCAACGCAACACCTGTCTCTCTGCCCGCTCAATCTCCCGGCGTCCATCCTGATCGGATGAGCCACATCAATCAGCAACCACAGCAAGGCGGTGCTCAATCAAGTCAGCAACAACAATCACAAGCTGGACCTCCGCCACCTCCACCCCCACCACCTTCGGCTCCGGGAGTTCACCCCGATCGGTTGAACCACATCAATCCTGATCGGTTGACCCAAATCAGTGGTCCACCAAGTCATCGGCCAACTGGTCCTAGTCCCCATAACCGGCCTCCGATCAATACCCCAGACCGGCCTTCCATGCCTGCACCCAATACCAGCGGACGGCAACAACCATCTGGACAGCATGGCTCTAATTTTGCCACTCCTACCGGCCCATCAGCTTCTAACAATGACCGCATGAGGTCTGGCGGAGGAAGCAGACAGCTCCGTGGTATTCAGAACATGCTTGACAAGGCATCCATGGACGCCCGCGGGCCTGGTTCTCGCATGCGCGGTTCGTCAAGACTTAACACTATGGTGGACTCGGATGCTCAAGTACTGGCTGGCGCATCACCCGGCAACACACCTGTCAATGACAGGCCCGACCCTCTCAGAGACATCCGCGAGAGCGGTTCGCGCAGGGACATGAGCACGGATCGTGGCGATCGGGAACGGGACCGCGGTAGAGACACCAGAGATCGGGAATCCAGAGACCGAGAGCCACGCGGTGGTCTGGCGCCGATTCAAGTTGTCGGTGACAGCCGTGAGGATTCCTCGGTGGTTCCACATGGCGGTCATTCCCGCAGTGATGTGAACGGAGAAGGATATGTTTCCAGCAGCAGAGGAGGAGCCAGCGGTGATCACGAGCGCGGAAGTAGCCGACACCATGGCTCTCGCTCGGAGAGAAGCGACAGGCCTTCTAGGAGAAGCAGCCGCGAGCGCAACACCGGTGGTGGTGGCGGTGATGCGAAGGAGTCCAGCTCTAGAGGCGACTATTCCCGGGAAAGCAGGAGTCGTGGAGGCGGCGGCGGCGGCGGCGGCCCATCAACGGTTAATGCACCTGGCGGTCCCAGTGCCGACCTCGTCACGGGTGGCTCTTCCCGTGGTGACCGGAGATCCGGCCGCGATTCGAATGCCGGCAGCGGATCTGGTCACAGAGGCGGAGGAGGAGGAAACATGCCTCCCCCGCCACCTTCGAGGGAACCCAGTCATCGCGGCCATGGCAGCCACAGAGGTGGAGGTGATGGATCAGGCCACAACCAGGGTGGAGCGCCGCCTATGGGAGGTGGAAGGAACGATGGTCATGGAGGTAGGCCCCCTCGGGAATCACGATCCTCTAGGCCTAGCGGACCCGGTGGTGGACAAGATGACATGAGAGGAGGTGGTGATGACAGGTCAAGGAAGCGGAGGGGTGACGGGGTAATTGATTCGTCTCAGGGGCTTGGAGGTCATCAGGACAAGCGGCCGCGTCGCTAGTAGCAAGGCGACCCGTCTCAATACCCTGATGAGCTGACAATCGAGAGAGGAGGCGTGGCGGAAGGAACTTAAGAAGTACATTAAGGTGATTATCGAGATCGGGGGAAAGATGAAGAAGGTAGAGAAAGACTCACATCTCACCCGTTGCAAATCATGAACCAAGCTTTATCCCAGATCCCTGACAACGCCTCGAGATGATCTCGGATGATGCACCTATACCGGCTGTTACGAGGAGCAGGACACCACTGGAGGAGGCGTATCTCGCTCGCATTTCACATATGCGTCACCAGTTGCGGATTAATAAAACCCAGGAAAAAATTGCCGAATGCGAGAAGAAGAAAGAGAAATTGCAAGAGAGAATTAAGATGAAGGAAAGAACTGAACGAAAGAAATTAGCGAAACGACGAAGGACAACATAATTTGACTGTCAGTCGTCCCTGAGGACAGCTAGCGAAAAAGATGAGCGAACATTAGTCATCCATCCTACTACCTGTACACCACACAAAAACAAAACATTTTCAGTACCTACTAGTAGCTTTTGTTCACCGCGTTCGGTTGCTTAGTTTATTATTTCCATGTATGCATGGGAGTTGGTGCAGTATTTTACTTAGTTCTAGGTTTAGACTTTACTTGAAGCTATATAGGTACATGCTATAGTATGGGTATAGCTATGATAGTTACGGTAATGATTAAGCAGGTTATAGATCAGATCACGCGACATTTTATAGTCAAGCCCAAGCGCGATAAAAGATGCCTAAGGTTGATTAGGCTCGCGAACTGATATTGAACTTGAACTTATAACTTTCTTAATAGTACGTATTTGCTCATTTGTTTCCCCGCGCTTATTATACACATCACTGCTGAGTCGTAACAAAACACTGCACACTACCTACTAATTGTGTCCCGCTCAGTAGAAGAGGACAGCATTTGCTAGGTGTGACGAACGGCAGTTTGATCTGCCTAATTGAGATAGCTGAAGGATGATAACTATCAGAAGTCGTTCGGTGAAGCCAAAAAGGTTCACAACAAGTATGGTAGCGTTATACTAGTCTCGGTGATAGTGATCAATTGACTACTGTCAAACTATCTGACAATCTGAGTTCTCCCGTAGTCCCTTTATACCTTGCGTGTGTGTCCTTGACTCCCGTATTCCTGAGTGTCTGCTCACTCATGATGTTGGCTCACTTGAAGGTCCTGGCTCACGGCGTGAGCCCTCATAGTCCGTGAGCCCTCCTGGTTCTGCGCCCTACTGGCTCCTATGGTTACACTGTCCCGCCTCTGCGTGGCTGTCGTATCCCAGTGGCTTGGTTGACCCGTGTGACTCGCTTGAGTTCGTAACACTAGGCAGTTCATAGGTGAGTTGGAAAATCATAATCATAGTATACAGGACATAAGAAAATGCATCTGGATAGACCGCCCAAAGTGAACTCATTCACTCCCCTATGTGCCCAGGTAGAAGAATCAATACTAGTAACCTGGGGATCCAAAAACCGTACCCATATAGTACGGAAATTTTCGGGAAAAAAACCATCCCTAGTTGGGGGGTATAGCACAGATCATATTACAAGCCACCGTAACAGGACGCCCCAGTTTTATTTCAGCCAATGAGAGCCCAGAAGTCAGCTTAGAACGGTTATTTTGATAGCAACGCGCCGCCGTCCTGTCATAGTTACTTTTATTAAACGGTTTTCTCAGTTCCCAGACTCCCAGTAATGAAACCTCGGATTAATGGTTTTGGTGGACAGTTAGGGCATTGTTCTTAATTTTGTATGCTAGACTCACCGGTGCGGCACGTCTCATGCCCTACGGGAGGCGGAAGTAGACGTTAAAAATAACAACAACAACAACACAGTATCTGTCTGTATCAAGCCAGAGCTCAAGTCAGTACATCTGTCATTATAAAACTTCATCTCCAATGACGTGGCTACTTACACGTACAACCTTGATTAGAGGCTGGTATCCGATCGGCTTGTCGATATTTCTTCTTATTGTCGGCGTACGACTGCAGTTGCCGGTAGAGACTGTCAGCAGGGGTGGCTTGAGCTTCCCTGTTGTGCCCAGCACGTTGCAGACTTCTTGCTCGGCTTGAAGTGTGTGTCGCGTTCTCTTTTTCTCTTGCGCGGTGGCGCGTCGCGGTGTAAACGTATTGGCCGGATTGCCAAGCGTCAATCCCCAGCAAGCTGTATAATCCCTATGTGCTGTCGTAGTTCTCCAAGTAGTTAGTTATGAAATAGATAAGGAAACCTTCAATGTCATGTGTCAGCGCCACAGACTGGTAGAGACCCAGCTGCTTCATCTTCTCGTCATCAAACCAGGGCGCAATGGGAACCTAGATCTCAGGGTCAGCTTAGCTCGTCTCAATAATATTTGGGAAGTAAATATAGGAGTGAGACAGTTTAGGATGGATGTTAAACGTTAGTTACGACTTGCTGAAACCTGGCTGCGACTTGGGCAAGAGACTGCTGTTGCTCGCGCTCGGTTTGGAGGAGCTGGAAGCCGTGCGCGC